CCACCCATCCACCCAAGGAGAGCTGTAGATGAAAGGTTTGGGGACGATCCCAAATCACAGCTTCCTGGGTGAGGTGGAGTTTTCTTTGGTTTTTTAAATCTGTAGTTTTTCCTCTGACAGAGGCAGGAAGCGCACTCTGCACCGGCAAATCAGAATAAACGGGGCTCGGGAACTTTGTAACAAATGCCCTTTAGAGGTCAGTGTCTCGATTGCTACACAGCCCAGAGTCCAGTGGGTTGGGGTTGGGGAAATCTTGTGCCAGTGGAGTATCTCCAGTGATTTGGATTTGTCCTGTTAGGCAACGTTGGAAGTAAAAGCAATGTTTTATTGAGCTAATTCTAGCAAGAGCGGAAGCTGAACTGGCAAGGGCTTTGGTCTGTTTGGGCTGCTCTAACAAAAGACAGTGAACAGGGCAGCTTAGAGACCACAGACATACACTGCTTAGCTTTGGAGGCTGGAAGTCCAAGGTCAAACACTGGCCTACCGTGCCTGGTGCGCTCACTTCAGGCTCACACACTTCCTCCCATGCTCACACGGTGGAAGGGAGAAGGCTGCTCCCAGGCCTCTCCCATGGGACCGCAAAGGCCAGCCATGAGGGGCTCACTCTCATAGCTTCAGCACCCCCAACACCGAAATCACTTTGGCGATTCTGTTTCAGTGTGTGAATTTGGGTGGTGGCCTTGTAATGTCAGCTTCGTCGTTGCTGCTGGACACAATGCCTGACACCCACGACTTGAGGACAGGTTTCATTTGGCTCATGTTTTAGGGGAATTCAGTCCATGGTTAGTGGACTGCAAGGAAAACTCATGGCAGAAGGGTGTCATGGAGCAAAGCTGCTTAGCTCATGGCAGGCAGCAAGCAGGGCAGGGGAAGAGTGCCAGAGGGAAGGGGGCAAGGGAGCAGCCTCATGACCCAGCCAGACACTTGGAAGAGTGCTCCCAGTCCCCAGGGCAGATTCCACAGCCAATCAAGGTGACGTGCCATCAAGATAGCTGCCACAGACACACATATTCAAACCTAGCACGGCGCCTGCCTCGAAAGCGCAAGGTCCCGAGTTCCATCCCCAGTACCAAAAAAACAACAACACACACAAACCGTAGCAGAGAGGGCAATCGCAGCTACCGTCCGCTGAGTGCTCACCATGCACCCGTCTCTGCTCTAAGCAACTGCGTTGTGTTTCACTGACCCAACTAGTGTAGGAATGAGTTCAGCACCGATCCCATGCCGCACACAGGAAAACTGAGGGCAGTTAATTAGGTACCTAGATGGCGAGACATCCCGTCCATGAAAGGTGGGAGTCCAACCTCAAAGTCCTCTCCAGAGCCACTTCAACTACCCAGCTGCAGCATGTCCCCAGGCCCCAAGGGGAGCTTATTGCATGGGATCAGTGCCCAGGAGAGACACGAAGGCCTGAAGGGAGACTGTAGACGAAACTATAATGGGCAGCATCTCCTCACCACCTTCACGTAAGAAAGGCCGCCGTGCAAACATTCTTATGTGTTTGCACCTCCATAAGGGAATATCATGGTGATGAAGGAGGAACGAAGCACAGTGGCCACCTGTAGAGGTCAAAGCCAAGGGCAAGAGACAGATGAGGAGTGGGCTAGGGTGACACGCTTCGGTCTATGCCTTCTCACGGGGCTCTTACGCCAACCCATATGAATGGTGACTTATTCAAAAAGCGTAAAATGATATAAAATGAAAGGCACACTTAAAAATCAGATTAGCTGTGTGGACCTGGAAGACAGTGACGTAGCGAGCACGGGCAAGATGCAGGGTCTCTGATCCGGTGCTGGACAGCGAGAAGGGGCTTTAAATTGGCCACACCACACCCAGGCTTGTTTGTGGATGCACATAGACACTGCACACTGGTGTCAACTCTAGAGAAGCTGAGATGGAGACCACTGGGCCTGGTTGGGGCAGGACCCAGAGATGAGGACGGGGCAGCAGAGGGTCGCAGAGCGGGAATGGCCTCGGGAGCCTGGTGTGCTGGGACCGACGCAGGATGGGAGCCGGGCCGGAAGGCTGTGCCTCTGGAGGAAGGGACCCACCGAGGTACTGAGCAGGGCCATCCGGCCTGGGGCTTCTCTGTCCACCGCGGAAGAGACACCGAGGACACCCAGCAGCAGTGACATCCTGCGGTCTCGCAACCGAGTGGCTAGGGGAGCCAGCCGAGGAAGGCCAGCCGGGAAAGTTTCTCGGCTTTCTGTGTCACTCCATTCAGGTCTGGGGGAAACCTATACTTCGATTTTTTTCCATTCTTTTTTTCTTTCCATCACACACATCAATGCAAACACAGTTACACACATACAACGCACGCGCATGCACGTGCACACACGTACACCTCTTGGCATCAAAGGGCTCCTCTGGAACAAGCATTTCTCTGATTCAGCTCCCTGGGAGGGAGAGCAGCACAGAGGGACGAAGGAGCCAAGCAAGCCACTGAGCTTCTCTTACTTCCCTTTAAGGCTGCCTGGTTACAGTCCTGGGGAAGAAAACCCCTGCACTCCTCCCCTTTAATCGGGCTTATTGTTAAGCACTGGAGCAGCTAATCCTCACAGACCTGTAGGAGCCGGAGACCCAGCACCTGGAGCTTGCTTCTTGGGCTCCTGATTCCTCCGAATCCCTGGGTAAGGCAAATTCACTTCTTTCCTTCCCTAGCAAGAGGCCCTCCTGCCCCGAGAGCAGCTGAGCAGCAGCGCTTCCTGAGCGACTTGGGCATTCATTCCAGCCCAACTGCCCTGTCTCAAGGGTGAGCTGTAGCCAAAAGGGGTCTGGGCAGCCACCGACCGTGCTCCGGGTGTCACTGCAGGAAGCCGGTGCCCTCTGGGCTGGGGGAGCAGGGGTCAGCACTGCGCTCTCCACTTCTCTCGGCTCACCCCTTCCGGCCCAGCCCTGACCCCATCTGTCCAGCAGGCAGCCGGGCTCTGCCCCACGCCGGGGTGGTGGCAGGGTTGGGACACAGTGGGCAAAGGGAGAGCTGTAAAGAGCCTGGGCCCTGCACCAGCCTGGGCCTCGGTGTGGGTCACAGACAGCGGCTTCCCTCCCGGGCACGTCCGCCTCCCTGGAGCCCTTAAACTGCCCCAGTCCAGTGCTCTGGTAAAGATGTCAAACGGAGGTCTGCATTCACCAGCACCCCCACCCACCCGCGCTGTGGCTGCTTCTCTCCACGTAACTTTGACGCATGCACATTAACCCCCAGGTTCCCGAGGCGGCTGCCCGCGCTGGAGCCAGTCTGGCTGCGCTGTGTGCCTGGCCAGCCTCTAGCTCCAGAACAAGAGAAGCTGGCAGTGGGGAAAATCTCTGGGCAGTGTGAGGACGGTGGAGCAGGTCCGGGGTGGCAGAGCCGGAGCCTTGCCTTCCACTGCCCACTTAAGCAAGGCGGAGAACAAGACCCCCGTGGAAACAGGCCATAACACAGTGCTTAGTAATGCCTGCTTCACACCTTACAGTGCGCCCTGTGCTCGCAATTGTCATCTTAAGGACCATCGGACAGCGGGAGGGCGCTGGTTACTTCCCCTTGTGTACAAGCGGTCACAGAGGCTCCTGGCATTCCCTTCACTGTCTGGGCTTGCAAAGCTGGATGCTGGCTGTTGGAGGGTGGTAGCGTCTGAACCCAGGTCTTCTGGTAAATTCAGTGACCTTTCCATGATGATGCAGATAGCTACTTTGTGTGTGCATGCATGCATGTATGCATGTGTGCGTGTGCTCATGTGTGTGTGTGTGTGTGTGTGTGTGTATTGTGTTAAAATGGGGCAAAAACTTTGGGAAAAGCCTGGGGTCTGAGTGAGGAAAGGTTTGAACTGGAACCAGGAGAGGCTCAGGCAGTGGACGTGGGTCCCCAGCCTCATTGCTGGACATCCTGAATGTTCCGGGATCAATCAGGTGTCAGACTGCAAGACAGCGTCACAGGGAAGCTAAGCGGGTACAGCTGACTCCCCAGCAACCACTGCCAAAAAGATGCAACAGGCTGCGAAGCCCCTTGACAGAGCCAGTGTGGGCGTCAGAGGGACTGGGGCTTCCCGCCCCTCAGTCACTTCCTGCCACTTCGTCTGGGGCGCTTTCTCCATACCTCCACTAGAGGTGGCTTTACCCTGAAAGGTGGCTCCTGGGACAGGCCGAGTCCCCAGCCTGGGCCCCACCCTGTGCTTCGGGTCTGTGGCCGCAGAACCTCCAGGCTGGAAGGAACGGGCAGCCCGCTCTGAGATGCAGCGCCTCCCCGCTCCCTCTCCCTGCCACACACGCACACGGCCCAGAAATACACTGCCACACGAGAGGAGCGGAGCGCAAGCCAGTGAGGCCCCGCGCAGCTGCCAGACCTGGCGGGGAGTGAATGAGCCGCAGCATGAATGAGAGGGGAGGAGGTGCTGCCTGGTGCTACAACTGCAGGCAGGCGCAAGCCTGGTCAGCAGCCAGGGGCCTGGGCCGGGCGGGCCAGCAAGCAGGACAGCAAGCCGGGCCCAGGGCTGTGCTGGGGTGCCGCTCACGAGGGTCACGCCCAGGGCACAGAGGGAGGCTGGGGTTACAGGGCTTCAGAGCTCCGGCTGAGTCCTCTGGCCTCTCCATACAGAGCTGCTGTCCACCCCCGGCCCTGGGAAGTGCATGACTGTGGCATTCAGCAGGAGTGACCCACAGTCCACGGGCCAGGCTAAGCAACAGCGTCAGGCTCAGGACCCCCTGGCAAGGGGCTGGCTGAGACCAGTCCACCCCACTCAAGAGGCCCGTGGGTCCCTCTGGGCTGCGACAGAGCCCCGGTTCCTGCTGGAGGAGCAGATAGCTGCACTTGGGCCCTGATACATGAAAATAATATGTCTTTCAGCACTGTAGCATCTCCATGAGGTGGATGCTCACGTGGCAAGAGGCATAGGACCTGGGTCCTGCGTGCCTCCTGTCCTGCTCCCCTGGTCTAAACTGTCCTTGTCCCCTGCTCTCCCACCAGTGCTGGACGTTTAGGTCATGTCCCTGTCACACGGGCCCACTGCTTGGCTCTGTGGAGGCTGCAAACCCTTTCATGCTCTTTGATGGTTTCCACCTCAAAGGGGCAGCTAGAGGTAGAACAGGGATCATCATTCCCGCTCTGCAGATGAGGAAACTGAGGCCAGTATGGCTAAGAGGCCCGGCATAGCTGCTGTCTCCCTGATCCTGTGCGTGGCCCTCAGCCACCAGTGCGGCTCCAGACAATGCTTTTCCCCTCCTCTGCAAGGCACGCACGAGTTCCGGCTTGTTACAGCAGCAGGAGTGACGTGCTTACTCTTAAATGTGGGTTTGCACCTAAAATAAACTGCAGGTGGCAATGAAAAGCCTTCTTCCTCAGTCAATTTGGGAGCAGAAATAACCGAGGCCCTGGAATGGGGACTAGCGGCGGCCGGGAGGGGCCAGGTCCCCTAGTTCCTCTGTGCTGTCTCAGGGCGCATGCGCCAGGCCTGGTTCTGGCCACCTGCTGAGCCAGTGTTTTGTCCCACGAGCTGGTACCATCCTGCCGGCTGCACAGAATGTCCCCAGGACACTATGAGCGTAGCGGGACTGCAGGCAGCAGACCTGGTGCCATACACGCTTGCAAAAGGTGAGCCCAAAGCGAGCCAGATGGCCGGCCTGCACTCCAGAGGAGTCCGCTATGGAGCCGGGCTCCACGGGCCGCTAGCATGCTGAAAGGGGAAGTTTCATCATCTGCTGAAGTTGGGCAATGCCAGGTTACACGGCCTTCAACAATGGGTCATGGATCTCCAAGAGAGAGGCAAAGCCACCCGGTCCACGGAGGGCCCTCCAGGAGCTGCGATCCAACAGACTTCAGGGCATGCTGATCGGTCCAGTTCATCCCTTCACTAAGAAGAGGGTGGAAATTCGGACACATGGAGTGGCCCTTGGAGCCTAAGCTTGGCTTCTCTGTGGTGTCCTCCAGGCCAGAGTGGCCAGGGCTCAGGAGATCTGACCCAGGCACGGAAACTCCCTGCATTAGCCCTTCGCTTCACAGTCATCCCCAAAGTGCCGATTTCCATGGTTCTGGGAGCCCGGCTGGGAGGCAGAGCCTGGTCTTACTGAAGCCAATCCTGCCAGCAACCTTCCTCCCAGGCTGCAGGCTGGGGGAATGAGAATGGGCCTGGAGCAGAGTGGGAAGCAGTCTGGCCTGATTCTTCTCCGCCCCAGGAGCCAGGCCAGCTCGGGAAGTGGGGACGCCACCCCCTGGCCAGTGACTCTCACCCCTATCAGGGAGCATCGCATCCAGGAGGCGCGGAGGACCCTTCCCGGGTGGACTGAGCTTCTCCCTGGGGCGCAGCCTTCCAGCGTGCCCCGAGGTGCTCACCTTGCTGCCCCGCCAGCCTCCGTTTGTCCTTGCCCGACTATGAGGCCGCGACTGCTCCTGCCTTGTACACATCTGGACCGGATCACACTGGACACGTTTGGATTGTAAGGTGATCCTTGGGACACTGTAACAGGAGGGTACCCGGTTCCGCAATAAGCACCTCAGAGCAGGCTCCTCGCGGCTCTGGTAGGGGGCCACATTACGGAGGGGCAGGACTGAGGGTCCAAAGAAGGTCCAGGCAGCCAGGCCTTGGGAGGTGCGTACAGACTGAATTATGTGATGGCAGCAGAGGAGCCTGGCACAGAGGAGAGGGCGGTGTGGAGGAGCCTTGGGGTGCCAGCCTCCGGGCTCCTGCCTCACCCAGTGTCAGCAGCACCTCAGTAGTGCCGGGCGCTGCCGGGACCCGCGGGCCTCCAGAGCAGGGACAGCGCTGCCCTGGGGAGCTGCAGCCAAAGCACAAGGCCTGCCCTCCAGGGAGAGGCATCTGCTCCGCAGGCTCCGGCCCAGCTGCAGTCCCCCCAGGGGCTAGGAGTCACCAGGAAGTCGCCTCAGTGGGGCACTGGGGAGGGGGCAGGGGTGCGGAGACAGCAGCGGGGACTGCAGACTGCCGAGGCCGCCCGGGGGCGGGTCACCGGGACGCCTGGCTCTGGTAGGGTGGTCGGCAGTGCTTATCCCACCCGGAAGTGAGGGACAGGGGGAGGCGACGCTGCCCTGCGGCCCTCTGGCTCTCCGGGCTGTGCCAGGGCCCGGCCTCAAGCCAGCGCGTGACAGCCTCCCCGAGCTGAACGGGTCAGGAAGCCCCACCCACCTCCCGGTCCCCCTCCCCAGGCCTCTGCGGGGCCCCCCGACAGCCTGGCCAACTTGGGTGTGGGTGAGCTGCTGTGCATCAGACCCCGACCCCAACTCCGCGCAGAGGCAGGTCCGGCCCTGGGTGCACACTGCGCTGGCCTCGCAGCTGGACTGCAGCCCTCTCAGGGCAGGCCTGTCACCGGATGTCTGGACTCAGTCCTGGCCACGGGAGGAACTCAGTAAGCGTGTTGAAGGAGGGAGAGCTACTGGACAACCTGAGAGCCTCCCTCCTGGAGCCCTGTGGCCCAGAACCCGAGGCCCAGGAGAAGCCGCTGCTGGAGGCAGAGCGAGCAGCAGAGTGCCCGGAAGTGAAGGAGAGCACTGCAGCAGCTTCAGCTTCTCAGGGTTGTTTTCTTCTGCTCTACAAAGGCCCAGGGTGCAGAAGTCAAGAGAGGACTGAGGAGAGTGTTTCCACAGAAGACGCAGGATATGGGCAGGGGATAGGGCCGCCCTCTGGGACTCCTGCAGTTCTCCACACCAGCATGGGGCTGGGGCCAAAGAGCCAGGAGCAGCTGGGAAGCTGAGACAGGAAGAACTCTAGTTTGACCCCAGCTTAAGCAGCATAGCCCCTCCACAAGATCCTGTCTCAAAAATAAAATATACAAAGCGGCTGAGACACAGGTCAGTGCGAAAGCCCTGGGTTCAATCCCCAGTGCCGGAAAAACAGCCACTGGCAGGTGTGTGTTCAGAGCAGGCTCCTGAGCCGACGCGGCACTCATGATGAAGCGACATGGTTAGTATTCGGTGTATGGGAGGCAGGTGGGCGGGAAAGATGTTTGCTACGGCCTCGCTTCAGCTAAGAATACTGTTTTTAAAGCTATTTAAGAGAGATAGGCAGAAGGAACAGCAAGTGCAGATCCGCCAGCGAGGCGGTGGGCCGCTAGAGCAGCGTCCTCCCGCGGCCCAGCAGGGGAGCCAGTGCGCTGAGTGCTCGCCACGTGTCCACCTGTGCCGACCCCTGCCCAGCTGCCCGTGTCCAGGGGGAGACTCTGTCCCTGGGGCCCCTCTAACCTGGAGAGGCCAACGGCCAAAGCAGGCAGGTTCCTCGTGGCCGTCCCAGGCGGCTCCCGGAGAAGTGTCACCAGCCAGGCTCGGGCGGAGGGAGGTCTGCAGTGGCTCCTCTGCTGCCTCCAGACAGCAGAGCCTCTAGCGCCCACCCCAGGCCACACTGCTCCAAGCATGTGGGACCTCAGGAAGCTGGGAAGCCCCAGATGCGCTGCCAGAGCCGCAGGCCCCCACAGGCACCACCACCCCAGCCCCGTCCTCTCCTGCACGAGCAGGGCTCCCGCAGCTGCTCGCCTGCACCCTTCTCCGGGGCCCAGGAGCCCGAGCCCGGATGTCCTTCCTTCTGTGGGACGCACCTCTGCACACTGCCGCAGACTGACTGGCCGTGTGGGAGGCCTTCCTGGCGCCCCCGTTAGTGTCTTTCCACACCCACACTTCTGACCGCGCACATGTGACAGCTCACTGCCTGTCTCCTTCACCTGCAGCCCCAAGAAGTTGTCTCTTGACACGTACCCAGCCCTGGGCCCAGCCGATATTGACTGTCAAAGCAGATGGTGGCTCCCAGCTGGGTGGGGCGGTGCACACCTGTGACCCCAGCACTCTGGGAAGCCAAGGCAGGAGAATGACAACTTGGAGCCCAACCTGAGCAACTCAGGGATTTAGCGAGGCCTTTAGTGTCTCAGAATAAAAAATGCAAAAGGGCTGGAGATGTAGCTCAGTGCAGAGGTCCAGGTTTAATCCCCTGTGCCACTAAATTAATAATTAATTAAGAAGAAGAAGAACATGGTAACCCCAGAACTCTGACACAGAGTTAGGACGCAGTTCACTTAGGGCTTTGCCCTTCGTCAGACGCCGGGGGAGCGGCAGAGGAAACAAAGCGCGTCTGTTCAGCCTCACAGGGCAGGGGACTCAGAGACAGGACAAAGGGGCCGGGCAGCGCTGTGACACCACAAGAGAGGTCGGCGGCTCGGGGGGCCTGGGGACAGCAGACGCCCTGCTCACACCCCAGGGTGGGCGTGCCCCTGTGAGTCTGCACACGCAGTCTCCCCACTGACACGGTGGGCTTCCACTTCGGGCTCCGACTCTGGTGCATGCAGCGAGACGTGATGCAGCAAACAGTCGAAGAAATGTGTCCTGGGTACTTTCAAAAGCAGATGGGGCTGGGTGTGGGGGTGCCCAGCAGCCCCCAGCACTGCGGAAGGCTGAGGCGGGGGGTGGCAGGTTGGAGCCCAGCCTGGGCAATCGTGCAAGAGCCTGCCTCACACACAATAAAATTACAATTCAAAGGACTGGGGTGTAGCTCAGTCCAATCCCCCCCCCCACACACACACTCACGCACACACGCACGCACACGCATAGTTTATAAATGGGGAAAAGACTTCCTTTTGCCGGTTGTCCAGGTTTTGTCCCCAGTCCTTACTTCTGGCCTTTACATAAGTGAGGAATTTTAGATTCTTTTGCAACCTGTTCTCATATTACTCAGAAATTAAAATTCGTTGCTCAGACCTTTATTTTTCTCCTCCCTCCAACAAAGCGACCCCAGCAGCTTCAACTCTGGAGGCGATGGGTCGGAAGGCAGAAGAGGACTGCAGCTCCTGGAAGAAGCAGACCACCAACATCCGGAAGACCTTCATCTTCATGGAGGTGCTGGGGTCGTAAGTCCGGCCAGCCTGGCTCTGGGGACCTGAGGTGGACGGGCTGGGGAGGCCCCGCCCCAGGGATCCCAGCCCCTTCCCAAAGGTTCTGTGCCCTCTGGTGCCAGCCAAGTGGCACCACTCTGCTTCAGCGGTGTGCCCACTTTCAAATTCTTGCCCTGGGCGCAACTAGGGCCGCTTCTGAGGCTCCTGCCCTGCTTCTTCATCCCCCATCCGTGCCCAGGCCGGCCCCATTTTCTGACATAGAGAGCTGCACTGCAGCTGCCACTTCCGGTCTCCCACAGCCTATGGTGTCTCTGGGGCCCCTGACAGCGGCCCCGAGGCCCACAGGCCTGAGACAGCCTGTCCAGAGCTGCGGCTGCCTGCAGCCAGGCCTCCCCCCGAGGCTGCCTCTCTGGTCCATGGTCAGCTAAGTGTAGGTGCTAGTAGGGCCTGGCGGGGAGGAGTGGGCCACCGGCCGTGCCTGCAGGCAGGCTTTTCTCCGCCAGCCCTGGCTGGGGCTGGGGACCTCGTGGCAGACACAGAGGAGCAGGGCACGGTGCGAGGAGGCCTCTGCTCTCCACCCGCACAGAGGGAGGAGACCGGAACACTGGTCATCAGCGAAAGGCCTCTGCCAAGACAGAGTGGCAGAGAGAGGGTTTTGGCAGGAGGGCCAGCCTCTGAGTGGATCGGGAGTGGTTTGCTAAGTTCACCCCAAGCAGGAAGAAGGAAGCGGCTGACAGGCGGTGCCCACTGTCTGCTTTGACGCCCGCCTTGGGCTTCGAGGAGCCAGACACATCCTCCTCCTCCTCCACCTTGTGATGCTCCGTGAAGCCCGCAGCATACAGGCCTGAACCTAGAGGGACAGCCGGGTCCCGGAGAGCCTGCTGCCCCGTCTCTAGCTGTGAAAATGTTGAAACATAAGGAAAAGCTGAAAGAGCAAAACAGTAGGTGAACAGCAGCATACCCAGCCCAATTGTTCACCCCCCTCCGACAGCGGCCACCTGAGCCTCGGGTCCGTATCTACGAGTCCAACCGGACCCAAGACACCAGGATGGCACCTGGTCCCAAGCCTGCCATGCTGGAAGGGCTGGCGCTGCCCAGGCACAGCGGCCTGCAGTGAGGGCTGCACAGGCCAAGGAGGAGGCAGCCCCCTGGGCCGCGCACGGCCTCTGTGTGCTCAGGAGGGAGGCAGGGCCCAGGCCAGCCTGGTTACCAGGGTGACGTGCGGTCCAGGAGGGCAGCTGGGGAGAGCAGGCAGCCCCTCAGCAGGAAGCAGTGGACCCTGAGGCAGGGGTCTTTTCTTGCTGGTCCTCGGGTCCTCTGAAGCAGTCACCAGGGCGGGCTTTTATTCAACGCTGGGGAGCCACAGCGGGAGCAAAAGCAGTCCATAGCGAGGATCCGTCCGCCACTCAAGCCCCAGGCCTGCTCCTTCCCCGCCCTGGAGCAAGTGTTCACCTGTAGCCTCAAGAGTGGAGAGCTCTTCACAGCAGGAAGTGCGACCAGGTCCTACCGCATGGAGCACTGCTGGCTCGCAGGCCCTGCTTGTCTCGCCTCTGGTCCATGCTGCCTCTGGTGCTCCTCACAGCTCTCTGCCCCACACCTTGGCAGTGGCAGGGTTAGGCCCTCTGGTCCACTCCCTCTCTGCCCGCAACACACAGTATGTGACAAAGCGGCCCGGGCAGAACAGTAACACCCTCTCAAATGGCTATAAATGCACAACTCTAGGGGGCCCCATTAACAGGCAGGGCAGTGTGAACGGTATCCTCACATTCATGAGAACTGAAAGCACTCATCTGACATCAGAGGAGGTGTCAGCTTTGAAACCAGCAGACCATCGGAGTGGCGGGAGACAGGGAGGGCTCTGGCAGTGGCCTCCGTATGCCATGCTGGAAGGGCTCTCTGAGGCCACATAGTCGGCTGTTATTGTATAGATTAGGAAAGCAAAGTCTAAAACAGAACACACAACTGACCCGAGCCCAAATTTCTCATCCATTCATCCACCCCTTAAAGGCATGTTGAGCGCTTTCCCCACGCGAGTGGCACAGGAGCTGGCACAATCACTGCTGCTATTCCCGCCTCAGGTTTCACAAGCCAGGCCGGCCCTTCCTACCCGCTGCCCCACACCTTGGTTTTTCCTCCCTTAAAACTGAGCTCAAAGCTACTCTTCAGTCAAAGAGCCACGCGTGTGTCCCGTGGCTGTCCTAAATGGTCACTGTGTGCAGACCAAGGCAGAAGCGGCCTTCCCTCGCGATGGCCCATGAGTACGTTCAGGAGCGGGGTCTTCCAGGTGAGTGGCCTCTGCTGGCACTGGCAGGGCACAGCCTGCCCAGCACACCCGCAGGCCGCTGTAGCCAGCACCCGTGCTCCGTGGCCTCACGGTTCGCCGTTCTTCTCCGGCCTCTGGGTCACAGACTGCTGAGCTAGCAATTCCCAGCCCAGCGCCTGACAGCGAGGTCCCGGCAGCTCACCAAGCATGCAGGGGACCATCTCCTGGCCGTTTTCAAATCCAGTCCTCACTGCCTACTTGCCTGGGCTCCTCCCAATCTAGAGGCTCCTCGGCGTGGAAACGCACTCACTTTTTCGTCTCCCGTGTCTAAGGCTCCATGGGTGCCCAGGAGACCCTGGGGGAAGAGATGATCCTCCAGGGGATGCGTAGGCCGGGCTCTGAAGGCTCTGAGGGGCTCTGCCTCAAGTTGGGGGACCCAGACCAAAAAAGGCCACCTGTTGTCTAATGTGGATTTTAAAGTCCAAGGCTTAACCGCCCTAACCTTTCTTCTAGAAGACCCAGAGGGCAGCGAGTGGATGGCTCCTCCTTCTCATTTGGACTCTGTCTGCTCCTTGTACCGCTTAGTTGGCAGCAGCAATGAAACCATCTAGTGCATTTGGTTTTGATAGATGTCAGTAACACTTTTAAGCATTTACATGTTTTGGCTCCTTCTTCTAAACAACCAACCTTAGGAATCACAGACAGTCCACATTCCCACTGTGCAGATGAGGAAAGTGAATGCACAGGAGTCAAGCGGCTTTGAGGGTCTGACACGAACAATGGGCATGGCCTGCACCCTGGCTCACGTGCTGCTCTGCCAGGTTCCGTCTGCTCTGTCTGTGGACAGCCTGCCCCAGAGGCTGCTAGGCCCTGCTGGAGGCCTTTCGGGTCCCACGCATGAATGCAGGTGCTGGGTCGCCTTGTGCCCTGAAAGTTGGTTCAGGATGATTATCAGCATCCAAAACCCACAGGCTGCGCCTGAGCCTCTCCCTATGCCTCTGCCCTGCCACTCCAGGGGGCCGCCATGCTGGGAGTGGCCTCTGCAGCGGCCCCTCTTTAATAGGGAAATCTCGGCAGCCGAAGCAGAGTGTCTGAGAGTTGCCCCAAACTCTAAGAGCAGGAAAGCACTTGCCTCACCCCTGACTGCAGGTCAGATTGCTTCCTTCCCCCGGGATGGGTGGAGGAAAGAGCACCCTGGCCCGTCAGACAGGCCTGGCCACCACACAGCCGTCCCAGCGGGAATTCCTTCCTGCACCCGCCCTGCCGTCCTGCTTCCAGAATGTTCTCTACCCCGCCAGAGCTAAGTTCCGTCTTGGCGTCCTTCCCCAGAGGAGCGTTCTCAGAAGTGTTCCTGGTGAAGCAGAGGGTGACCGGGAAGCTCTTCGCCCTGAAGTGCATCAAGAAGTCGCCTGCCTTCCGGGACAGCAGCCTGGAGAACGAGATCGCTGTGTTGAAGAAGTGAGTGGGTCTCGGGTGGGTCGCGACCTTCACAGATGACCTCAGGAAGTCCGAGCTGGCCATGCCCTCCGGGGCGCTGCTCCCCAGGCCAAGCTGCCGGTCAGGGTGGCCAGTCAGCTGTCCAGGCTGAAGCATTCGCACAGCCGGGTTGTGACATGGGCTAGAGAGTGATCAACTCCAAGGAAGAAGTCAGGTGGCCGTCAGGCAGCGTCAATAAGAAGGAAGCAGCATAAGACTTGGAGTTGGCCTCAGCTTCGTCCAAAGCAAACATAGGCTCAGCACCCTGACCAGCAGGGTGGACACCAACAGACCCCCCAACGTGGGCAGTGAGACCTACAAAGAGCCCTTGTGGAACTCCTGGCTGCACAAGGTATGCTCAGCACCTACTGGGTCAGGCCCACAAGGATGGAGCAGACAGGTCCCGACCCTCAGTCAGAGCTCACACCTTCCCGGCGGAGGCCTTGCCAGCTCCAACCCACCTGATGGGAGAGAGCGCAGTGGGGAGTCCGGGAGTGGCCTAGGAGAGCAGGCGTATTTTCAGAGCAGGAGGACCTTGGTGGGTGAGTAGAAGTTTGTGGGAGCCGGAGGGGCAGTGCAGAGAGGGAGTTCGGGCTGAGAGCAGCACAAAGTTGACGTCACCGTGGAAGTGCAGAGGCTGCTAAGGGAAATGGGAGCTGGAAGCCCCCGAGCTTGGAGTGAGCAGCGTCAAAGATGGGAGATGAAACTGAAATGTGAAAAGGGCCTGAGCACAAAGGATCTTAGTGCCATGATAAAGGATGTTGGCTCTTTTCTATGGGCAAAGAGAAGTCATCAGAGGACTTTAAACGGGACTTGTAATGGATTGGTATTTGCGAGCCACCCCTTGAGCATGGTGGAGACAGATTGGAGGAGACCAGCGGAGAGGGTAGGAGACCTATTACAAGGCTGTCACAATAGGCCAGGCACGGGGTGAGGAAACAGGCAGAGGCAGTGGCAGGATTACACGGAGCCCAGACAGCCGTTCCAAGAAGCATTGTGGAAAGGAGTGTCTGGGTTAGGGGTTGGCCAGTAAGAAGATAGAAAAGAAATGTATCAACAATTACCCTGAGACTGAGCACACTTCCAATAAGCGGGGCGTGATACCATCTCTTAGGAAGAACAAAAAGGGTAGATTGTGGGAAATGGACAGAAACCGGCAGGGACACATGGAAGATAGGTGTCCACTTGTCTTTGTAGGGAGGCGTCTCGTAGGGTGCTGAAGACAGAGCCGTGCTCCAGGGAGAGACTGTGAAGTACTGAGCACAGACTGTGGTATACTCAGTGAATATTCGTTCAGAGAATGAATAATTAATAAATTTCTGTGGCCTATGAGTATAGTTGAATCGATCAACCACAGCTATGGTCGGTTTTCCAAGTGTCCAACATTGGACAGCTACTGCGATGTGTTGGCTATTCCCCAGGCACTGTAGCAAGCATTTGTAAAGTGCTGTCTCTTTTAATCCTGGTTTAGCCCTATGAGAGAGAGCTACTTTTCTTATGAGGAAAGTGAGCTTAGAAGCTTTGAGAAAGCCACCTAAACTTTCCCAATGAGTGAGCGCCTGAGCTGGGTCTGAACCCGGAACCAGTTGGCTTAGTCTAAATTCTTAGTCCCTGTGTTGTATAACTGTTGGTAAAACTTCCTGGAGACGTTTCTGCTCCGCAGTGACCTGGGAAGCCATGTCTTCCGCTGGTGCCATCCCTGTGCGAGACTCAGGCTCTGCGGGTGACACAGGATGACCTCAGGCAGGGGATCCTGACCAGCACAGTGACACTGGGCTGCTCCATCTTCGTGACGCTGGGCTTTCCTGAGCATTGCCTGGTGTCTGGCCGCATTTCTGCCTCCAGTAGCACCCAAGGCTCCAAGAGTAACTGTCAAAAATCCCTCCAGACATTGCCGAATGTCCCCTAAGGAGCAAGAGCCCCCTCCCCGCCGTTGAGAACCGCTGATTTAAATCATCCCACAGAAAATAAGCATCTCCCTTGTTTTTCACAATATCCTAGAATTGTAAGTTTTCAATACTTTTTTCATGGTTACCCGAGAGGGAGCTCAGCTAGACTTTCTTCCTGCAGTGTTTCTGCAAGAGATCGGCATACCCACTTGCGTAGAATAAGCGAAGGCTGGGGAGTCCCTCAGCCTTCCTCGGGGCTTTGTTTCTTTGTCTGTTCTTATTGTGGTGCTGAGGCTCAGACCAAGACCCCACACAGCCTAGACACGCTGTGTCACCAGCTACACCCCAGCTCTTCCAGCTTTCCCAAGTTTAATGAAATTCCCGGAGTAACTATGAAATGCTTCCTGAGAGCAGGATGGTCACTAATTCCTTTGATAGATGTGGGTTGAACACCCTCCGGGATCTTTTCTCTGGGATCATTTGGCGACAGCCTACCCATTAGCCAGGCTCCCAGGGACCCAGTCTTCCTAAAGATTGCCATCCATCCAAAGTGTCCCACAGGAGCTTCGGGCTGGCTCTGCATTCTTTCACTGTGACACTTACTTCTGCCCAGGATCAAGCACGAGAACATTGTGACGCTGGAGGACATCTACGAAAGCAGCACTCACTACTACCTGGTCATGCAGCTGTAAGTGGAGGGGGGCCCACCTCCTCCCAGGGGCCTGCGGGCCAGGGAGGCCCAGGGGGTTGTCAGCGTGAAGGAAGGATGGCAACAGACAAAAACCAAGAATTAGTTCAGGCTGAGTCCATTTAGGGTCAGCATGCTTCGGGCCATGCGTGTATTCTTTGTGGCCAGAGAGGGGACACAGGCTGCTTCCTGAGTTGCTGTAAACCAGTACAGGCTTGCAGTTGTTAAATATCCCCTACAGCCGGACAAGCAGCTGTCTGCCCTCTTGCTGCTCCACTTTCTCCTGGGACCTTCTGGGATGTCCCCACTGCTCAGCAGCTGCAGGGGTAACGCCAGACATACACCAGCCAGCCCCCAGACCCCTTTGCTGGCACCATGACCTGGGTCTGTTTTGACGTCAGTGTCCGTTGCCTGGATAGTAAATGTATTAACATCACTGCAGCGGGCAAGTGCTGTAGGAGCAGAAACCACACATGGATAGATTTCAGTTCCATCAAAGAAAGGCTGTCCCTAAGTTGAAAGCAGGCTGCGGTCGTGTGTGTTCATCTGCAGGACAGAGTGAGGCTTCATTAGAAAGGCTCGTGTCATTGTCACAGCGAAATAAGGGTTCTGCCTGGTTGTGACTGTTGCATGTGTTGGTCAGCACTCCTGAGAACTTAGCCTTGGGTGCTCAGCCTTGGGTCCGTGAGGCATCTGTGCAGAGCACGCGTGCACACTCCCACATGTGAACACTCCCACGCCCACACTGCTCTCCCATCTCTGCCGATGGGCTGATTCCTCAGAGCTGCCATGGCTAACTCAGGTCTAAGCACCTCATTCCCTCTCTGCCACTCTGGCGTCCCAGTACTGACTGAGAAACTTCCAGGCAAATGTAGTGTAGCTGGTAGTCAAGGGCTGGGGTCAGACTGTCTTACGCTCGGCTGACCCTGAGACCTATGCCATGTGAGTCTCAAAACGCCCTGCACTCCTCTCCGTAAGTCCAGCCCCCCAGAGGAACAAAAGAAGCCCTGATACCAGCAGTCCACCCTGCTTCGTGTCCAGGGATTGCTGGCCCCGATGCAGCCCCAAACAGAGGCATCCACCTTTGTAGAAGAAGCTTCCAGAGGCAGGTCCTGCTCCGTCCCAGGCGGGGCTCCCTGCCATCGCATCCCAGGCCCTGGAGGAGGCACTCCGAGGCCACAGTCCCTGGGCACCTGCCTGGCCAGGCCTCCGGCATCCTCATGGCTGCGGGACAAACGCGTGTGCATTTCCACAGCTTGAATTAAGGACCTCCTTCCTGTGCCCACAGTGTTTCCGGCGGGGAGCTCTTTGACCGGATCCTGGAGCGAGGTGTCTACACGGAGAGGGACGCCAGCCTGGTGATCCGGCAGGTCCTGTCGGCAGTGAAGTACCTGCACGAGAACGGCATCGTGCACAGAGACTTGAAGGTGCCAGGGCAGGGGTGCAGGGTGGCAAACGAATCATGATCCTCAGGAGGCCTCAAGGCATGCGAGGCTTGGCCCAGCTGGACTCCCCAGGCCTCTTCTGCCCCCCCCATTCCTGAAATGGCCTGGGGCACTGAACAGGCAGTTAATCTGCGCCTTAGCTTTTCCTGAACCTTTCACTGGGCCTTACCCCGTAGGGGTATCAAATAATCCCCCCATTTCTGAACCCAGCCACAGTCGAGTCAAGGGCAGCAAATGCTTATGACGGTTGCATGCTCCCTGGCATCACCACAGGCTTTGGTGAGTGCAGAGACCGTTAACCCAGGGTTGGTTCCCTCAAAACAGATGGTCCTGGCATGGCTGTCACACAGGAGGGGTCACGGGCTGAGCCACAGCAAGGCCGTACAAGAGCCCCAGAGTGCTGGGTGCAGGAGCGAGGGGCGGGCAGGGGGCAGAAGATGAGCAGGAGCCAGGGCTCTGCGCCCTGAAAGCTCTGTCAGGGGCAGGAAGGGACTCACTGCAGGCGGGCACGGGCTCCCTCCTCCCTCAGCCGGAGAACCTGCTCTACCTCACCCCTGAGGAGAACTCGAAGATCATGATCACAGACTTCGGTCTGTCCAAGATGGAGCACAGTGGGGTCATGTCCACGGCGTGCGGGACCCCAGGCTATGTGGGTGAGTGCGGGCACAGGAGAGAGCTCAGCATCCCTCCCAGGACGGAGGCTGAGGAGAGGGACTCAGTGTCACAAGTTATCCAGGCAGCATGTCCGCCTAGGAGGCTTAGGGCCACGAGTACCACCGCACTTCCTCCGTGGCCCCTGCAGAGGACTCTGCCTCAGTCGCTGCAGAAGACAAGACCGCAGGCCCAGATCCTCTCTCAGGGGTGTCGCGGGGCCCCCAGCTGTGTGGCGCCTGGGTACAGACCCTCAAGTCCCCCCAGGCAGCACCCAGAGACCTGGCAGAGGCGGGCGTCCCACCTGAGCAGCCCTGTTGGTTCCCGGCAAGGCAGGAGCGGGCAGGGCCTGTGAGAGGTCTGCGCCCAGGCAGCAAGCTGAACCCCAGGCCATTGGCTGCACCCCTTTCCCCTGGCCAGGCACCACCTGTGTGGGGTCGGGAGTGGGAAGCAGCGCCCAAGGCAGAGAGGGAGCCCTTCGGCTCTCGGGAAGGAGCTGCAGTGGGTACACGGCTGGGTGTCTGCGGGACACCGAGGCCGCTGCCTGCTGCCCGGGCTCCCGTGGAGGCTGTGACAGGCTAAGCTTCCACTGAAGAAGGGACCCAGAGTCTGGGGGGAGTTCGGCCTGGAGCTCTAGTCTGAAGGGACAGGCACAGCCCTTGCCTGGGGACCCCGTCTGAGGGGGAGACAGGCCCACCTGAGAGTGCTCAGTCCCATAGGGGGCGCCAGCACTGGGGATCCCAGCCTGACCCAGGGCGGAGCGGTCCATGGAAAAGTCACCATCTCTCTCACAGAAAGACTTGGTCTCTTGGATGCGGCCCTCGGGGAGTCTCAGTCCACAGAAACACTGCCGTGCCGCGGCCCACCCTGTCCCCTTGGGCTCCTGGGCACCTGCTCCCCCAGCCCCCAGCCCTGACTCTGCCATCCGTCTGCCACAGCTCCGGAAGTGCTGGCCCAGAAGCCCTACAGCAAGGCTGTGGACTGCTGGTCCATCGGCGTCATCACCTACATCCTGTGAGTAACCTCGGCCTGCTTGCTCCTTCTTCCCCATTCCTGCCTTGGCACCCCCGGCCCCAGAGCTTCCTGGTCCTGCTGTCCACCAAGTCAGAGTGGAGCTCTGCACGTGCCCTTGCGCAGCCTCCTGGGCCTCCCTGGCCTGCACCCACCCGGCTGCTGCACACAGATGTGCTGAGAAGCCAGCTGGAAACAGGGGACCCGCTGCTCCATCTCTGCCTCCTCCCCTGCTGACCTCAGACCAAGGCAAAGCCACTCCCAGCTGGCCCTGTCCTAGCCCACCAGCCGCCGCACGTACAGCAATTCCTGCTTTGGGGAGAATAATCTTCCAGTAGATGCTTGCCCCTTATGTGGACTCAGTTCTCTGTTCCTCAGATTATGCAGGATATTCTCACCCATGCATTTATCCCACACATGTGCAGACTGTCTGCATCACTAAATTGCCCAGTGGGACTTGAGATCCTCCTCCCTCAGCCTCCCAGAGGGCTGGGATTCCTCCCAGAGTGCTAGGCATTCACCACTGCACCCAGCTTTCTGCTATCCTTCTTTGAGATGTTCTGTACAGAGCATCTGAGAGTCGGAGAAAGTACAGGGAGCAGGCACACGGGGCCTTCCGGAAGCCGGTTCAGGGAAAGCTCCTGCGCCCCTCCTGCAGCAGGCCCAGCCCACCTCCTGGCCACACTGCTGGCCTGGGACCTCAGTGCCCGCCCGTGTGCAGAGCGGGTGGGCAGAAAGGCTGGCGGGAGCACGGGTGGCTCAGCGCCACCCTTCCTGTCCCGCTGCAGGCTATGTGGCTACCCTCCTTTCTACGAAGAGACTGAGTCTAAGCTTTTTGAGAAGATCAAAGAAGGCTACTATGAGTTCGAGTCTCCGTTCTGGGATGACATTTCTGAGTCAGGTAGGGTGGTGGCTGTGAAGGCCAAGGTAACAGGCTGAAGGCCAAGGCTGTGGGGAGCAAAGGGTGGCAGTCCTGGCCCTTCAGAGCCCCTGGGAGCCCGAAGAACAAGGTGCCAGGGAGAGCAGAGCCGTCCTAGTCTGGTTCGGAGGCAGAGGAATTACTGGCGTCTGAGGTTCACACTGCTGTCTGCCCAGAGGCTGAACCACAGCGGGTGGGGCAGGGAGCGCTGGATGGGAGGCCAGGAGGGCAGAGCCCAGGGGTGCGGAGTGCTGCAGGCCGGAGCTGCCTGACTGGGTCAGACACCAGCACAGCGCACGCCTTGTGGGCAAGCAGGGGCGGTGGAAAGACAGTCGGCACTCACACGTGTGCCATGTGCTGGCACTGGCCCGTGCGCAGGCGCGGGCGCGGGTGCAAATGCAGGCACACGTGGTGCAGGCACACGGCGCCTCGTGACCCGTGACCGCCAAGGCTCCTGCAGCACTGTGTGGGAGAGGCTGCCCACAGCTCTCCTTGGGTGGCGTATGGCAAGTTGTTAGGCGGCTTAGATTTTTGTTCCTCTCTTTTTAAAACTCTCAAAATTGCCTCTTTGGAAGATTAGCTAAAGATGCATTCACTGCCACCCACCAGTCCGGAAGTGAATTTCCATCAGCTGTGAAATCTGGTCCTAGCTGTTGCCTCTCATCTCCCCGTAGCCAAGGATTTTATCTGCCACCTGCTGGAGAAGGACCCGAGTGAGCGGTACACCTGTGAGAAGGCCCTGAGGCACCCCTGGTGAGTGAGAAACGGTGACGCCTGGCTCACCTCGTGGCTGCCAGGGCCACGCAGACGGCACTGGGCCAGGCGGACACGGCCGACACGGCAGGGGCTGGCGCAGGCCCCACGGGGTGAAGCGCTCAGGCCTGGTGCAAAGGAGCCTCTCTGCTGTCCTTACGAGCGGCATTTCACTCTAAGATCAAAACCTGTTCCATATGAAGGGTTTGGGAGCAAGCACGAAGCAGCCATTGGTAAAACAGGTGGATAAAATCATGAAACACCTTTTTTTCATGCCCGCCCCCACCCAGTTCGGGGTTTGCAGTAGCTCCCCTAGCACAGCGTCAGCCTCTCCAGCTTCCCCAGCCTGGCCGACCCTCTCTCTCTGGTGCATTGCCCAGGATTTCCAACAGCTTCCCTGTTCCCACAGAGCTGCAGCTGCCCCTCCCTGTGCTCCGCACCGCATATACCCAGCTCTCTCCTGCCTCCCCTGAAGCCCTGACCCCTGCAGTCCACGCAGACCTCCCGGCTCTCTTCATTAGTTCACGAGCTCACCGTCAGCTTCTCTGGTCCACCGTGGGGAACAACCCCACACTCCCAGACTACGGGCTCCTAGGCATGCATGCGCCCAAGCCTCTCACTTCTCTGGGTGCCTCATCGATGTCCCGAGCGGTGCACACGGCAAGGGTCTAGGGTCACTGGGGTCTGGGAGGGGAGAGGGCAGTGGGCGTCCAGTGACCTCACTGGGAAAGGCTTCAGGGGAGTCGGCGTCTACTTCCACGCAAGGTCTGAGCAAGAGGGCGGGGAGACACCTAAGCCCTGCCATGAAAGGCTGGCCACTGTGCCGGGAGAGGGTTGTGTGTGCATATTTGAGGCTTTGCTGGCCATGCCATCTCATGACAACTACTCAGCCCTGCTGCTGTGGCGCAGAAGCCGCCTCAGACCTGACTGGGCAGCAAAGAGCTCCATTCCAGTGAACCTCATTTGAGAAACAGACAGCGGGCGGATTTGCCCCCGGGCCATATCTGCCAACCCTGCTCCCAAAGCATGGTTTTGCCAAAGCAGAAGCCCACGTGGCCTGCCCGGGGGACAGAGGACCCTGCTCCAGTGCCGCCCTGCGGGCTCCTTCCCCTGGGCGCTGCACTCGGCTCTAACCTGACTGAGGCACAGCCCCAGCCCACGCAGGCTGTGTGCACAGCGCCTGCCCGGCAGCCAGGGCCTCTTGCTGCACCCACAGGATTGGCGGCAACGCGGCCCTGCACCGGGACATCTACCCCTCGGTCAGCCTTCAGATCCAGAAGAACTTTGCCAAGACCAAGTGGCGGGTGAGCTGCACCCAGCGGGCAGCTGCCCGGGCCTGCAGGCTGGGTGGGGTGGGGGAGGGCTGCCCTTGGGGCATCCCTTCCACTCCTTGCACCCTCTCCAACATGAGGAGGGCCACACTGGTTTCAAGAGGCCACCTGGGGCCAGGCGCGGGGTGCACACCTGTAATCCCAGCTCCCGGGGTAGGCTGAGGCAGGAGGATTGTCGTTCCAGGCCAGCCTGGGCAACACAGGGAGACTGTCTCAAAACGTGATAAAGGGGTTGGGTGGGGAAGTCGCTGAGTGTGAAGGCACCATGTTGAGTTCCCAGTACCAAAGAAAGCCCAGGAGAGGGAGGGCTGGGGTGCAGACCCTGACACGCAGTGCCTCCCCAGCAAGCCTTCAATGCGGCGGCCGTGGTGCACCACATGCGGAAGCTGCACATGAACCTGCACAGCCCTGGCGGCCGTCCCGAGGCTGAGCACCGGCCACCCCCGCCCCCGCCCTGTGGAGCCAGCGGGCCCAGCTCCCCTGAAATCACAGTCACCGAGGTGCCGGCCCCCGACCCAGGCCTGCCCCTCCCCACACTGGTGCAGCTGCCCTGCAGGCCCGGCCCCCGGCCAGCGGCCCCCAGCGGCAGGTCCCTCAACTGCCTGGTCAACGGCTCCCTGCACATCAGCAGCAGCCTGGTGCCCATGCAGCAGGGCCCACTGGCCTCCGGGCCCTGCGGCTGCTGCTCCAGCTGCCTGAGCATCGGGGGCAAAGGGAAGTCCTCCTACTGCTCCGAGCCCATGCTGCTCAGAAAGGCCAACCGGAAACAGTAAGTCCCTGCGGCAGGACACGTCCTGGCCCTGCTCAGCCGAGTTGGGAAGGGCAGGGGGCAGGACTCAAAAGGCTGGGAAAAGGCCTCTCGAAGGCAGCGAGAAGGGTGGGAAGAGCCCTGTCCCCACCACCAGCTGTGCGACACTGACAGACACACCGGTGGATGCCTCTAGTTTGCAGTCTGTAAAATGGGTTGAGGGAAGCATGTTTACCTCCTCAGCCTGCACAAAACTAGGAAGTGCACGTGTGCGGAACACACTGGATTCCCTGGGATTCCAGGGCCTCCGTGTTGGGGTGGGCGCTGGCCAGCCTGTGCTGTCCGGGCCTCCTGATGCTACCAGCACAGAGGGCTTAGCCCCACCCACCCAAGCTCCTTCCACCGCAGAAGCTCAGGGCTTTGTCCCCCTGCAGGAACTTCAAGTCCGAGGTCATGGTGCCAGTTAAAGCCAGTGGCAGCTCCCACTGCCGGGCAGGGCAGACGGGGGCCTGTCTCATCATGTGATCCCTGGAGCCACTGAGTGTGGGGCTGTGGTCCAGGTGAGGCCGACAGACCTGGGGTCGGGGGCGCAGGGCTTCCTCCCCAGGAACAAAGCCCCACTGTACCCTGAAACCACTTTGTCTTGCAGGAGACTTCAGCTCTTCTCTGCCCTCCCAGCCCTGGCCTCTACCTACAGAGGGAGGAGACAGAGCCAGCGGCGCAGGGCCTGGCAGGAGCATTTGCCGGAAGCAGCAGCCACCTGGAGGCCCAGGAGGGGCGAGGCCTGGAGGCTCCTCGAAGCTTGGAGGAAGCTGCGGGCGGGGGGAGCAGCGTTTCTGACCTGCCTGCCCCACACCCTGTGAGCCATCCTCTGCACAGTGTACGTAGATAGCGCTCGCCTGGGTCTTGTTTCTCGTGAGAAGCTTCGTGGGCTGGCCAGGCTGTGCCACCTTCTCCAAGCAAAGCCATACAGAGCTTCTGCTCTGAGTCCCCGCTCTGCTCACGCTTGCTCCTGCCTCCTGGCCTCCCGGCCAGAGGCCACACCAGGCTCCCTACTGCAGCTTCTGCCCCGCATGAGCGCCAGGCAGCTCCAGTCCTAACCTCCAGCACTCACCCACAACACCTGGGATCCCTTCCTGCCACCTCAGCCTCAAGGCAGGGCTACCCTCCAAAGGTGGGGCAGAAGGAATCCAGGGTGGGGCCCCCAGAACTTCTCCATCCGGCCACGCCCCCACATATGCCAAAGGCGGACCCCTTTCCTCTAAGCCAGGAGGGCCCATCCTGCCTCTGTCCCCCTTTCTGTCCCTGAAAGTCAGGTGTATCGTCCTGATCCTATCCCAGTTCTCCTGCTCCCAAGCCCTCCAGCTTCATGCTCGGTGTTGTGCTTAATAAAGTGAACATATTTTTCTCTATCCAGCTTTGTTTGCTTCTTTCAAAGTCAGAGGCAGCTCCAGGACTTCGCGCCCAGCTGGACTAGACAGCGCATGGGCAGCTCGAGGGCAGCTAGGAAGAGGCAGTGGCAGCTGATGTGCATTAGGGGCCTGTGTGTGCCAGGCTGGTGCCAGGGCCAGAGTTACACGCTCACAGGGACGCTGGGTGCACTCCGTGGAGCCTGCAGCCTGGCTCCAGCGCCTTCCTCTAACCAATAGATCAGAGCTGGGTGGAGGCCCAGCTCTGCCCCTACCCACCACGTCCGTGAGCTCAGGTTATGCAGCCTGTGGGGCCCCGGTTTCCTCTCTTTTCTGATGGGAATAATGGTGCCGCCTGAATCACGAGGACAGGCAGACGGTGCGCCCGGCAGTGCTTGTGGATGAGTGAAGTGATGATCAAGACGTTATGCAGATAAAATGCCTTGCACAGTGCCTGGCTGTGGTTAGCACACACAGGATGCTCATGCCACTCCATATGTGCCCTGGCGCGTGCGCGCGCACACACACACACACACACACACACATACACACACACACACACACACACGTTTGCAACTTCCCTCGGGATCCCGGGAGATGGATGCTGGTCTTAGGCCTGCCTCGGGGAGCTGGATAGGTCTGAAACCAACTCTTCCCTCCTCTGGAATGAAGAGCAGGACTGCCGTCCACAGGCGAGGGCGGCCCTGGGCAGGGGTCTGGCCTCCCGAAGTTTCGGCTCTGCAGGCCGATGAGTGAGGAGGGTACCCCTACCCCTGAGCTCACTGGAGACGGGACAAAGGCTCACTGAGGGGAGGACTGACGCTTTTCCCTCTTTGAGCCTCCAGGTTCCTTTCCAGAGATTTTTATTGGGCTTTTTCATTTGTACACGATTTTTGAAATGCTTTTTTTGTGTGTTCTTGGGGATCGAACTCGGGACCCTGCGCTTGCAAGGCAGGCAGCAGCAACACTGGGCTAAATCCCTGGCCTGTGTACACAATTTCTGTTAAGTTTTGCATTGGTCCTGGATCCACAGCACTGGAGGACGCAGTGGGAACACTGCCCAGCCCAGCTCCCTGGACTCAGGTCCCCGGCCAGGCGGGCGCCTCGCCACCTCTGTCCCCCCAGTGCAGCGGCCCCCACTCAAGCTCGCAGCCCGGCGATAGCTGCACACCCGGGGCCTGGACCGCACTGCGGCTGGCAGCAGTCCCTGGGAGCCAGGACGCAGCCCACCTCTGCCTGCTCCCCAACGCAGGGTGCCGGGTGGAGCTCACTTGCAGGTGGCATAGTAGAGCACGCGCCCGCTGATGTGGTCTCGGATCTGCTCCACACGCTTCTCCAGCCCCGTCAGGTCCGCTGAGCGCAGCACGATGGCCTGGCTGCCCCGCAGCAGCTCCGACTCCATGTCTGAGGGGCGGGAACAGCGGACAGGGTGAGACATAGATTCTGCCCTGCCTGGGGCAGCACGGCAGAGGGCGGCTGAGAAGCCTGGCCTTGGGGCCCAACCCGACCCCAGAGGCAGAGCCAAGAGGCCTCCTCCCAGGGATCCCGTGCCCCTGCGCCTCTCCTCTGCTCTAGGCTGACGAGGGGTCACTGGCACCAAGACGCTGGCCCCACGCCCTGGACACCTGCCGCCCCGCCAGTGACCACCGGATGGGTACTTGGCAAAGAGCTGACCAGAGCCCCTGCCCACTTCCCCTCCAAGAAACAGCACTGCTTATAAACCCAGTCCCCCCAGGCCATTCTGCACACCCCGTCCGGATGATTCATGATGGTCTGGAAGAGTCCCGAGTCCCAGGCCGGCCTGTCCCAGGCCCGACTCCTGGGGCTGTAGGGATACGGATGCAGGCACCCTACACATTTCTGAGGCTAGATTTCCTCAGGTCAACACCTCTGCTCCTCCCAATGTAGCTGCTGGGTCCCTGCCTCCCCACCCGATGTGTGCCTGTATGCAATATCCCTCTGAGGACGCAGCAGCCAGCACTGCAAGCCCACCCCTAGGACAGCACAGCACCCCAGGGCTCCAGGCCGATGAAATCCAGGCCCATCCATCGAGGTTACTAAAGGGCCCCCTCCCAGAGGCCCCCAGTCACAATCCCCCTCACTCCATCCAACCAAAGCTAGGTTCCTGCAATGCCTTCCAGGGCTCCCACCGAGCCTGGCCTGGGTTGGGGGATAAGCCACCCCGGTGGCTAAGTAGTGCGCTCCGATTCCCCTTACTGGGGCGCTTTGTGTTCACCAGCGCTTTTGGCAGTAGCAAGAATTCACCGACTTACACAGAACTTGCAGTTCATCAAAACGCCTGGTTGTTTTCTGGTGAGCAATGACTCCTATCTGCCTATCAGGTACCGACGATAACGTGTTTTTAGCAACACAGCCACTGAGGAGCCAGGCCCCACCTGCCTCCTCGTGGCAAAGGCCCAAACAAGGCAGAAGTCACGGTTCCCTGATTTAACTCCCTCCTGCTGGTTCTGCCCATCCGCTCCGACTTTGCAGCTGCCTCGGGATACCCCTGTGCTGTCTGGTGCACTCGCTGCCTGTCTCTTCTGCTTCAACAAGGCCCTGCACTGGCCCCTTCCTCAGACTAGCTCCTCCTTCCTGCCCTGTGCCCCACCTCACATCGACCTCCGAGAGCTCACCAACCAGCCGTCTCTGTGCTGTCCACCTGGCCGCCCCACCCCATCCTGCTGACCACTTCTGCTCTGCTTGCTGCTCATGGACCACCAGCCCGGCGGCCCACCTCAGAGTCGGAGTGGCTTCTAGAGGTATAAACCCTGTTCCTCTTCCCCGTGAGATGTCATAAGGGCTGCGAACGCGCCCCTGCCGTCCACACCGAGATGCTTCCCTGGGGGCCCAGGCCCAGTCCGGCCTCCTGGTCCCGGCCTGCAGCCAGCTGCCTGGACCCAGCATGTGCAGCTGTGCTCCCCCCGCCCCTCCCACGAGCCCTCCGGCCCTGCCCTGCCCTGCCCAGCCAGTCCCGTGCTGTCCACACCAAGCCTCCCTCCTTCACAGCCTCCGGCCTCCACTTGCTTCCAGCCCGCCCCAGCCCCGAGCACTGTCTTTCCCGAACATCTCCCTGTGGAATGAATTCCTCCTCAGAACCTGAGCTCTCACTGCGTGCCCCCCACAGGCCGCCGGGTGCCCCAAGTGGCTCACGTCTGGAGCAACAGAAGAGTGGCCTCAGCGGGCCGGGCTGGTGTGACCCTGGGGCACACTTCAGGCACCGGGAAGGGCTGACTGCATCTCGGCCGGGTGAGAGCAGGCCCGGGGCAGGCGGGAGGGAAGCGGGCCTCACCTCGCATCTTGTCCATCATCTCCATGGTCTCCCCGAACAGCTCCTCGGCCTCCATCTGGACGCTGTGGATCCGGCTGCCCCGCTCACCCAGTGTGGGACTCTGACCCAACCGCTCCTTCAGCTCTGCGTACTTTTGCTTGATTTTCTCAAATCCCTGAAAAAGGTAGGCGGCTTCAGTGTCACCGTGGGGACAGGCTGTGCTGAAGCACTTGCATCGCGCTGATCAAGGGCCTCCGACCTTTCCCCACTGGGCTGGCTCCGCCTACGAGACCTCTGGGCCCCCCACGACTACTTAAACCTCTGAGCTGCCCTCCCTCCACCCCAGCCCGTCGCTGCTCCCTTGCTGCAGGCTCAGTGCCAAGCACGCAACAGGAGGGGAGGAGAAGGTGGCTGTACACCGACCACACACTGATGCCCTGGCCCAGGGATGCCAGGGTCCTCGAAGCACGAGGGTGGCTCCTTGACTGTCCTCAGAGCCCAGAGGGAACCCAAGGTGGGACCAGTACAGAACCCGAGGTGGAACCTGGACAGAACCCGGACAGAACCTGAGGCGGGACCCGGATGGAACCTGGACGGAACCTGGACGGAACCTGAGGCGGGACCAGGACGGAACCCGGATGAAACCCGGACAGAACCCGGACGGAACCCGAGGCGGAACCCGGACAGAACCCGAGGCAGGACCCAGACAGAACCCAGACAGAACCCGGATGGAACCCAAGGCGCAACCGGGCGGGACGTCTACACAGGGCGTCTGGCCAGGCTGGGGCTGAGACAAGCGGAAGACAGCACAGAAGGCTCAGGCTCTTTTGATGGACTGGCCAGGGACAGGCCACCGCCCCAGCCTCAGTGTCCCCCAGCCAGCTCCACAGAGGCAGCTGGAGGGGCTCAGGTGCCAGGCTAACTCCGGGCTTGTCTTTGTTCTTTTTATTTACGGGGTGTGTGTGTGTGTGCCTGTGTGTGTGTTCACACTAACCCAGAGCCTTCTCTCTGAGCTGGATCCTCAGCCTCTTTTAATGTTTCCTTTGAGGCAGAAGCTTACTGACTCACTAAGTTGCTCTGGCTGGGTGCGAACTTGTGACCCACCCTCCTCTGCTTCCCAGAGTGCTAGGATCACAGGCGTATGTGCTTCGGTTCCATGGTCTCAAAGGTTGCTCCTGTTCCGGAACCCCTGGCTGGCTGCGCCCCGCTGGACTGCTCTGGCCTCCCCATACCTCCTGGGCACTCAGAGCCCTCTGGCTGGCATCCTCTGCCAGCTGCTGGGCCTGTGCTGCCTGTGCCCGCTGCCGCTGGGCCTGGCGCTGGAGCTCCTCCATCCGTGCCCGGAAGCCGCCCAGCTGCTCCGTCATGCCCATCACCAGCCCTTCTGCTGGCCCCAGGACCTGCTGGACCTGTGGAAGGACGGGGATCCGGGCGGCAGTGGGCCTCAGACAGCAACCACTTCCTCTCGTCAGTCTTCCCACCCAACCACTCAGCGGCGTCCTTCGAAACCCCACTGTCCACTGACACCCAGGCCCCCCTCCGCTCTGCTGCCCCCGCCCTGCTTTCTGCAGCCCGGAGAGATGAGAACACCCTGAAGTTTGTCATTTGCCTTCTCCCACTTGGTGAACCAGGTCACTTCCCAGAATCCTCTGGGCCTGAGATGAATCTCTGTCCATCCCGGTTCGGGCGAGGAGCCAGGACGCCTCACCTCAGCAACCCTGTCCTGGATAAGCCGCAGCGAGCGGCCAGTCCCTTGCATGGTGTCCTGAGCTTCCTGCAGCGCCGCTGAGCCCTGTCTCAGGTTCCCGACCACGTCCTCCACCTGGCCTTCCACAGAGTGGGCCCGGATCCTGAGTGAGGGCCGGGGAGGGAGGACAGCAGAGTGAGGGGCAGGGAGTAAGCACCACAGCCCAGCGACGCCCTTCCCAGCGGGACAAGGCCCGCACAGCCCCGGTGGACGAAAGCGTCGGGGCCTGAGACAGCCCTGGGCGCAGTGACCCCTGTGGGAGGCAGGGTCCTGTGCTGCAGGCACCCGCACTCCGAGGGTCACGCAGAGCCCTCCACAGCAGGGCCGGGAGCGACACAGCTGCCCCAGCCTGGGCAGGCGCGCTCAGGGCCACACCTGGCCTGCTCAGCCTCGGCCTGGAGCCTCCGGGCCCGTGCCACGTCCTGCTCAGTCTGGGCCAGCACTAGGTCCACGTTGGGCAGCCTGGCTGCGATGGCCTGGATCTCCCTCATCTTCCGCAGGACAGTCGCTGAGTCTGAGGGCAGCAGCAGAGCCAACACAGCCTCACTGACCTCCTGGACGGCAGCTGCGTCTGTAGCAGGGTCTGGAAAGGCAGCCACTGTCAGCCTGGGGAGCCCGCAAGCTCCAAGGGGCAGCGGCCCCTCCGGGCCCAATCTCCACGCAAGGCCCCACCCTGGCCCCTCTGCTAGTGCCGAGGGAGCCACTGGCCCACTCAGCCTGACTAGGGGCCGGGACTTCTGGGAAGGGTATGGGAGGAGGATTGTCCGGCGCTGAGGGGAGCGGGAAGCAGGTGGGGAGGAGAGGGGAGGAGTGTGGGCAGCTGTGCACAGGAAGCGCGCTGAGAGGGGGCGGTGCCAGGCAGCGCTGCTGCACACCTGCCACCCTGCGGGGGCTGCCGGGAACAGTGAGACCCATCCCCTCCTCGCCGAGGCTGCAGAGCTCCTGAGCGGGAAGCTCCCCCTGATCCGAGCTGCCGCTGCCCCCCTCCTTTATCTTCCCCCCACTGCGGGCCCTGAACTTGGTCTTGGCTTTGGCTCCGGAGAACAGGGACCGGGTTTTGTCCAGGGCCACGTGGCCTGGGCCTGAGCACGGCACCTGGAACTTGAGGTCCTCAGTATTGCGGAGCACATGAATGACTGAAGGGCTCGGGATGCTGCTCCCCTTCACACCACACAGGACCAGGCAAGTGGCCCCTCCAACCCCAGCCTCCTGACCTGTGGAATGGGACTGAGGACCCCCATCCTAAAAGTGTAACAGGAAACAACCGACCAGCAAGAGCTTTACAAACAAATCTGACTCTGAGTAAGGGCGGAAGTGCAGAGGAGAGGGCACCTGGTGTGAAGGGTCGGGAGCTGCCCACCCAGAGGTCTGCCCCTGAGCCTGAGCACCCCTGGGCCTCGGGGGCCCAGCCAGCTGGCTACACAGGCCCCTCCCAGCCCCGCCTCCTGGGAAGTGAAGCCATGCTGATCATTGCTGCCTTCCTGGGCCAGCCTGCAGGAGCCCCAGGCACAGGTGACCCTGAGCTTGCTAAGAGGAATCTACCAGCTACAGGCTTCAGGAGGACGGCGCCCTGGAGACCCCATGCCCCTCTAGTCCACGTGCGGAACCCCCACAGGGCTCACCACACACCCTCCCAGAATCCTCTGGAACAAGGCAGCCCCCGGCTCTGGGTCGCTGCATGCTGCGGGACCTCTGCTGTGCGCATGCCCTTCTGAGGCCCTGTGTGGGCCCAGCGATATGTCCTGCTCTGCAAACAGCAAGTGGGAGCTGAGCCTGCAAGTGACTTAGACTCAGCTTGAAATCCAGGGGGGCGACAGGTACCCCACGTGACCAGCTGCAGTAAGCACAGGTTCTGGGGTGGCCACGGAGGGGCATCTGGGATGCTCAGAGGTGAGCAGGGATTAGGAGGTCAGGAGAGGTCGGAGGGAGACAATCCAGAGAAAAAAGCACGAGGGAAGGCAAGGAGGCAAGAGTGAGTGTGTGTGAGTGTGAGGAGTGTGAGTGTGAGTCCATCCCATAATGCAGCAATGGGGACTGTGGGCCACAGAGTGGCATCGACGGGCTGGAATGCTGCCTGCAACACCTCGGAGCTAGATGCCCTTAGGCGGGGTGTTTAACCTCTCTGCGCCTGATTTCTTACAAACAGAGTGGAAGTAATAATCGTACTTAGCTCATCTAGCCAACTACTGTTCAAATTAGGTATCGGAACAGCACCTGGCACTTAGTGAGTGCTTGATAAACCCTCGCTGTTAATTCTGTCAGTCCATTTGAGGACATGGGGCCACCATGTCCCTCCGGGCTGTGACCCCTCAGCAGCTGGCACCTGTGCTGCTTGCCGCAGCCCCTCCTCATGGTGACCGAGACAACTGTCCTGGGCCCCGCAGCCCCGCCCTTCCCTCTCCCTAGGACCATCCTCGGCCTTGACCCAAGATGCAGCGTAACCCAGAGGACCCGATGGCCAGGCCACTCCTGTGGCCGCCAGGAGCCTGGGCTGAGGCGAAAAGGAGAGAGCTCAGCCAGCCCCAGCTCTCCTGCCCAGGCCGGGCCAGTCCAGCTAATTCCAGATGAGCGGCCACTCAGTGTCCCTGGACTGCACTCGGGATCAAGACCACCTGTGCTGGGAGTCCGAGCCCTGGACACGAGATGCCCCTCCCTCTGTGCACTGGCACGGTCCCCCTGCATCCCCGGTGGGGCCTCCTGGCCCTCGGCAAGCCATGGACACCCGTGGACTCTGCCTGCCTCTCTCTCAGCGGAGAGCTCCAGCCTGGCTGGGACAAAACCCCTGCGCAGCAGCAGAAGAGCTGCTGGGTTACGCTGAGCCCTACACTCAGCCGTACTCACTGGGCTTCCAGCCAAGCAAGTCCCCAGCAGGGACCAGAAATCTAATAATATCAGCTCCCATTCCGGAGACACCTTTAATTGTTCAAAGCACATTTTACGTGTTATTTGAGCCTCAGAATAAACTTGTGAAATACTACCGATCCCTCTCGCCAGTGAAAGATGGGCAGAGGAAAAGCGAGAAGTCCGAGTCACACCAGATTCCTGAGTGGGCCAGGACCCCCACTGCACGGCCTGTCCTGTTCTCTCCCACAGCCCCTCAACACTGGGAGCCTTCCAGTCTGCCCTGCTGCTGGGAGCGGGGACGTAGCCCTACGGAGGACAGCCACCTGGCCCTCTGGGGTGCACAGGCCAGCGGGGAGAGACCCGGTACATCCAGAGTCCCAGTGGGGCAGAGGCGAGATGCAGAAGGGGAGTAGGAAGGAGAAGACGACCACAGACAGGAAGGCCCGGAAAGGCCTCGCTCAGCAGATGGCGTTCAGACCAAGACCTGGAAGACCAGAGCAGCTACCCCGGAAAGGGCCCATCACAGTGCCAGGACCACAAGGGCCCTGGGCAAGGACGGCCAGGGAGCGAAGGAGAAAGGAACCAGGGCCACGCCCAGGAGATGGGCAGCGCCAGACTCTGTAGGCCAGGAAGAAGCTGGGCACTTGTCCAGGAGCAAGGTGAAGCCGCTGAAGGACTTAAGGCAGAGCGGGATGTGCTCGGACTTAGATATTCTCCAAGGTGCCTGAGGCTGTTCTGCTGAGAGTGGACCCAGGGAGAGGGCAGGGAGGGGTGGCCGTGTGGCCACGTGCCTGGGTGAGGGGGCGGCAGGCACAGAGATAGGAACGAGTAGGGCAGAGGCCCAACACTACCAAGGAGAGCACGAAGGGCAGCTCACCCGAGAGGAAGTCCCGGACCTGCTGGACGAGGAGCCGTGTGCGCCTGACGTCCTCCTCCATCTGGGAGCGGCTGGTGCTCACCTGGGTCTCCAGGCGCTGGGCATCCGACTGGACCCGCAGGGCCGCTTCCTCAGCCACCCTGATCTGTTGGCACACAGGTTCAGCAGGGCCAAAAGCCCCTGGCAGCCCCGGGACCCTGTGGCTCAGCCTCCACCTTCAGACCCATCTGCAAAGCCTTGGTTCGGCCCCAGAGCTGACAAGAGTGCTGGGTTAAGGAAAAAAGCCCACACCCTGGCTCTGAACTCTGCTGGCACTGCTGCAGGGACTTAGGCTGATCAACCACCAGGGCTGCCCCCCGGGCTGCTGCACGGCCAGGGCTCTGTGCCCCCTCCTGCCTCCCACCGGGGCCATACCTGCGCTGCACCTACCATCTGCCTGGTCTGCTGCAGCTGGGAGCTGAACCCTCGCAGCTGCTCAGCCACCTGTCCGGCCATCTGGAAGGCCCCTCCCGCCCGGGGGAGGGCGCCCCTGCAGTGGGAGCCACAGGTTGTGCCGTTTTCTTGGGGACACAGCTCACCAGGGCACGCTCCCGGGGTGCAGGCCGCCTGCCTGGCGCCTCCACAGAGCTGTGGAGAGGTGGGGGCTCCTCAACAGCCACTCATCCCACAGCAGGAAACAAACAGCCAGACGGCTCCGTGACAACCTAGCCCCAAGAACTTGTTTCCCTGGCAACGCCGGAGCCCAGGGTGAGGGGCACAAGGGTCAGGGCTCACGGGCAGGGTCCCCCTGGTGGCACATGCGCGGCAGCAGTTGATGTGTGACTCCTGGAGCGGGGCTCCGGGAAGTGGGACTCTCACGTGCTCAGTCACCTTGTGCACGGTGGGTGTCAGGTCGGGCAAGGACGCCACCTCCGTCCACAGGGCGGCGAGCTCAGAGCCCCGTGCACCTCCTCCTCCTCCCTGAGCCTGCCTCTCCAGCCGTTCTGCCTCTCTGCGGCTGTCCCTGAGCTGGCGCAGCAAGCTCGAGCTGTCGGAAACCTGCTGGGCAGCCTGGGACGACCGTTCATAGGCTTCGGTCAGCATCCAGAAGGCCCCTGCGGGAAGAGCAGTGGGACTGAGTGGGCCTGGCCCAGGGGGGAGCAGGTGGGAGCAGAGCATCCTACTGTGCTCTCCTCACCTGAAGGATCGGCGCTGTGGAGCTTTCCGAACTTCGCCCTCTTGTCCTGATACACGACAAGGAGGTCACTGAGGCTCCTGCCCAGACTCTCCAGGTCTCCTGGGAGGGAGAGAACCTCTTCCTCCAGGGGCAGGTCCAGCTGCAGGCCCTGGAGAGTCCCCCTGGGGTGGGAGAAGAACTGGCTAAGACAGAGGAGGGGTTCTGCCTCCCCCGAGGCAGGGAACACGCTCGCTGGAGGGGGGACCCCCGGCTGCAGAGCATTCGGCAGGGGCAGGAAGGAGGCTGAGTGGGCTGGGCCAGGGACAGCCTCCCTCCGCCCTGTCCAGCCAGGCCACCGAACTCTGCTGCTCGGCTTCCAGGGCCCCAACAGTCCGGGCTCTCCTCCACCTCCCGCAGCTCTCCCGCTCCTGGCTTCTGTGAGGAGCACTGTCCAGGCCCCTCCGGTCACGGCTGTGTCGAGATGTCCCCCAAAGGGGGACCTACGCAGGCACAGGGGGCGCTTCTCAGAGGTGGCTGGATCTACAGCATGTGGCGCTGGGATTGATCCGTGGTGCAGTGCTAGGATCAGGGGCACTAGGATTAAGGTGCGAGTGCTGCCCACCCTAGGCAGCCTGGATAAGGCAGAAGGCACAGGAAGAGCTGTGGTCGTCCCTTGCTTGCTTTTGCTGCCTTCTGTCTGCTATGACCTGTTTCTCCTCTGCCTGCCACCCCGCCTTGGAGCCAGCTGACTGTGGACTGAAACTTCTGCAAACTGTGAGCCAAATAAACCTTTCTCCTTTAACTTTGGGTGCCTGGTATTTTGTCTCAGCAACGAGAAAAGTAAGACCCCTCCTCCTTGGCTCCCTCCAAGCAAGCAGCTACCACCCGGAGAGTGGCCCACACACCTCTCTTCTGCAGCCCGAAGAGCCCGCCGCCAGCCCACTCCTGAGATCTCCCAGAGGGTCCCCTGTCCCGGTGCCCTTTGCTCTCCACCAGCCTCAAGTCCCGCCTACGAGCCCTGAGCCCCCCACCTCTGGGTCTTGCTTGGGCACAGCACACCGTCTGTGGCCTGCTCATCCCTGCACCATCAGCCTCCTGCACGCTGTGAACAGACAGCGCCTGCATGGCCACCCACCCGCTTACAACACACCGGCCGGCTCCACGCAAGCTCCTGAGGCAGCGGACTGGGCTGTGTTCAATTTAATGTTCAGACACCTCGTACAATGTGTGCCTCGGAGTGCTTTAAAAATGCGTGGACTGAGTGAGTGAATGAACAAATGATTCCCAACATTTGCACCAGCTCTCCTGCTGCCCCTGAAAGGAGCTCTAGCACCCGGTGAGTCAGAGCCTCAGAGCTCATGAGTAAGTTTCCGGGCTGCCGTTCCCAGCTGCCAGCACACACCTGGCCGGCCTGCGCACTGCCGGTCCACAGCCTTCAGGGAGCGCAGGCCGATTACAGAAGCCTCCAGAAAGGATCTCACCAGGAGGGCGGCCCTGCCCTGCCAGGGAAAGGGCTGTGGGCGGGGCCCAGAGGAGTCCAGAGCCAAGCTAGGAGCTAGGTTTGGCACCCCGCCGCGCCGCCCTCCCAGGGGCAATCCAGAGCTGGCCCTCCACAGGCCGCCAGGCACAGGAAGAGCAGTGGGCTCGGGCTCCCGGCCCTTGGCAGCTGCATCTCCGAGCAGCAAAACCGGAAGGGACACTAGCCCCTCCCCTCAGGGGGCATCACTGCCAAGTCTGTGAGCTGCCAGGCTGCGGGCACTCAGACAGGCCCGCCTGTCCTCACACTGGCAGGGGAGCGATTACCTGATGGAGAGGACGCTGCTGGCCATCTGGGCCACATCCCGCTCCGGGGCTGAGGCCTGGCCCAGAAGGGCCTGGATCTGCTCCACCTTGCTCGTGGCATTCAGGACCCGGGGTCCCAGCTCCACGTCCTGCAGACCCGGCCCGGGCCGCAGGCCACTGGTGGCATTGCGAAGTCTGCCGAGGCGCCCGGCCTGTAACCGAAGGGCTGCGTCGTGGATCTGGAAGCAAGGGTGGCAGGCCACGCACACAGGGTAGCGGGCACAGTGGCCTCTCTGGCACTGGTCACAGCGGCGCCCAGTGAAGCCAGGGCGGCAGAGACAGCGGCCGGAGACCTTGTCGCAGCCTGGGTCCTCCGTTCCCCGGAAGTCACAGTCACACGCTGAGGCGGGGAGAAGGCAAGTCAGAGGCCAGGCAGGGAGACGAAGGAGTCCCCCCCGAAGAGGGGTCTGGCCTGGCGGACCCCTCGGGGCTCAAGGGACAGACTGTGGGGGCCGGAACCAGGCACAGCAACGGCAGCAATGACAGCACCCACTGCGCCAGGCCTGGTGCTCAGGACGTCACATGCCGCTCACCTCCCTCAGAGTTGCCCCTGAGGTCCAGAGAGCAACCTGCCTCGCACCTCCTGCTCCAGGGAGGAGACGCATGCAAGGGGCAGGGCCCCGTGTGTCCCCGGATGAGGCAGCCTGAGACCAGGACCAGGTCTGGGCACCCCACACCCTGCGCTCTGTCCCCCCAGGATCACTTCCTGCGTCCCTGCAGCTGCTGTGGGAGACGCTGTCGCCAACTACCGCCCTGCTGGGGACGCGGAGTGGCCTGAATCAGCCTGACCTGGGCTGTCCACGCGCAGCCACCTCACATCAACGCGGGGTGCCGAGCCCACCCACCCACGCCCTCACAGTCAGCACGCACCTCGGCACCCTGTGCCCGCGTCTCCGTGGGTCCGGTCGGGACACTGGCGGATGGCTGCAGCGGCATTGCACGTCAGGCCACCAAAGCCTTCCCGACAGGGGCACTGCCCTGTGAACTGGGCAGAGGATGGCACGTCGGGGACCCCGGCAGGCTCTGCTGCCCTGGCACTGGGGACCGTGTCCCAGACCCCCACTCTGCAGGCGGCACCCAGGGCTCCTGGCTGTCGGCAGGGCGGGTGCACCCCCCAAACATGGGCTTCCCGCCAGGACAAACCCAAAAGTCAGGGTCCCGGGTCTCCTGAGAGCCACAGGGGGAGGAACACCTGCCAGCCCCCAGGGGACCAGGACAGAAGCAGCCAGCCTGCATGGAAGGGCCCGAGTGCACTGTGCGGGTGGCGGAGAGCGGCAGCCCGCCTCTCCCGCTGTGGGGCCGCCGCCCATACCTGGTTGCACTGGGAACTGAGGGAGGTATGAGGGTCACAGGCACACGGCTCGCAGCCCCGGCCGCTGGCCAGCTTCCAGTGGTTGGGGGCACACTGATCACATCTGGGGCCCACCACGTTGGGCAGACACAGGCAGCGCCCCGTCTCCTCCTCGCAGGGCATGTCTCGCCGGGCCCCCAGGACGCTGCAGTCACAGCCTGCGGAGGGACGCCCCAGACAGCTCAGGCCCTGCGGACACACAGCCAGGGAGGGGCCGAGCCGGGGAAGGGCGGGCGGGGCGGGTCTGTGCCCTTCGGACCGGACAGGGGGGCTCACGCTGGCTGGCTGCCGAGCTGCTGCCCTTGCTCCAGCTGTCCCAGTTCCCCCCCTTCCAACCCAGGCCCGTGCTGCCACCTGCTGGACGCTTGTGGCCCAGCACCTGGCGCTGGGGAACACAAATCTGGTCTGCGGAGCAAAGGCCTGACCCAGGGCGCAGAGCGAGCGAGCGCGCTCCTCTGCAGCGAGACCGCGCCCTCCCCGCCGCGCCGCCCGGCCCCACTCACGGTGGCAGCCCTGCGGGTTGCTGTGAACGAGTCCGGTGAAGCCCGGCTTGCACAGGTCACAGCGCTGGCCCTGCACCTGCTCCTTGCACACGCACTGCCCGGTCACAGGGTCGCAGGGAGCTCCCTCCACCGCCCCGTCCGGGTCACACTCGCAGGCTGCGGGACAGGAGGGAGGGAGAGCTGAGCCAGGGCGGGCTCCAGCAGCCTGGCAGCCTGGCCAAAGCCCGTCCACCACGGCCTCAGCCTCAGCTTCAGCACGGGCTTCACCCCTGTGCCTCTGTTTCCTCATCTGGAAATGGGGAAACAGCACAGCCTTCACGGCCTTCTTGTGTGGAATAAAGGCGTGGGCAGCAGGCGGGCGGGACAGAACTCGGCACTGGTAAGTACCACGGAGTACTTCTACCGGCTATTTCCGGGGCAATTACTACATGCGAGCACTGAGCCTGGCCTCTCGGGTCTTCCACAGTCCTCAAGATAGCCCCTGACAGGTTCCTTCCAAGTGTCATCCCCATTGCAGAGATAGGGAACTCGAGGCACAGAGATGTTAAAGAACATCCGCGAGGTCACATTGCGAGTAAGTGCGAGACAGGCCGAGTCAAGCCCAGTCACTCCTCCATAAACACAAATTATCAACAGGAAGTGACCCCACTGTTCCTGCCCGGCCCCCGACCTTTTCCATGCATTCCCAGACACAGACTCCTTCATCCCGAAGTTCCTCCCACTGGGCTTGCCGGAGTCCACCTGTGTTCAGCCTGCTCTCCCGTGTGCACTCTGGGGCCTGTGGAGGCCCTGTTGCCTCGGGCTGTTGGTTCACTCTGCTGCTCTGAGTGTCAGAGCCAGCTGAGCAGCCTCCGGGCTGTGATCAGGAGGTGTAAGACACAGCCCCACTGAGAAGGGCTCAAAGGCCGCACTACAACACGGTGACAGCACTCAGCACGTACATGGGCAGTCCGCTCTCACCCTCCGCTTCACCAGTGCAGGATTTATGGCCCCAAAGAGCGTGAGCGCTGACATGCAGCTTCCCTCGCCCGCGCCCAGGGTCAGGGCCCTATATTCATTGGCTGACTCATCAATGATGATCCAAGGGGCTGAGGGGCTTGCTTAAGAAAAAGCTAAACGACTCCCAGCCAGTCTCCCCGGGGGCCCGTGGCCAGAGTGAAGGGGTGTCAGGCACAGGTGACGCCAGCCGCTACTCACGAATGCAGGTCTCCCCAGCGGGGGCGCCCGGGCGCCGGTTCCGGAAGTAATGCAGCTGACACCGCTCACAGTTCTGGCCCTCCGTGTGATCCCTGCAATTGTCACACACGCCTCCGTGCGCCCCCTGGCTGGCGGCAAACACAGCTGGGTCGAAGTGACAGGTCTCCGAGTGCCCGCTGCAGTCGCACCCTGGAAAAGGGAGCCCCCAGCTAACATCTGACCGGCACCTTCGCCACGGGTCAGCCCATGAGCAGCTCAGCTCTGGGCGGTGCTCTGGGCAGGGAAATGGGGAAACTGAGGCCAAGGGAGGCCAGTGTGGGATACCACAGCCACAGCACCAGGAAGAAATCAGAGTAGAATGAGAACCCAGGACTCGACTCCCCGTGGGGCAGCCAGGAACCGAGGCTGTGCTGGGCCGAAAGGAGACAATGTGCATGCCCAGCCCTCCCGCCCTCCATGGTCTCCTGCTGGGTTGCTGCCTCTGTGGGCCATGCGGACAGAGCCCCAACTCCGAGGGACCCTCTGGAGTGGGAAAAGTGACAGCAGGGAGCCAGGTGAGTCTGTGACAGGTAGAGCAAAAGGAGGGGCCAGGAGAAAGCTCTGAGGTTACTGTGGAGGTGGGACACCAAGTCAGGCCCCTCTGGGCCAGCTGAGGAGGGCAGAGGCCATGCGGGCATCCTGCCCACACCTCTTTCTGCCCCATGAGCCAAGGCAGCTTACACTGCAGGCTGCAATTCGGTCTGCACTGGAATAATAACATCAGATCCGCCCTGTGTCCAGGCAAGGTCAGTGCCACATGGAAGGGCCAGCACCAGAGCCCGTCACCATAGGGAGGGTGGGCCTACTTTGGCACTCATGGGCATCCTGGTCCTCTGCAGGTCTCCAGGGCTGGTTGTTGTAGAAGGGGGCACAGCGTTCACAGTGGGGGCCGGCAGTGTTGTGTTGGCAGACGCAGACCTCGTGGACCTGGGAGGGGCGGACAGAGGACAGCTGCAGGGATGCGCCTGCCAACCTCCAACCTCCTCCAACCTCCCTCTGCCACCCTCCAAGCTCTCCAGGGTGTTTCGGCCTTCGCCTCTCCTGGGCCGCCCACAGAGGCTGCTGGCCTGCGTGGCTATGTGTGAGTGTGTGTGCCTGTGTGTGTACGTGCCACTCAGCGCCGCTAGCAGGCACTTCCTAAGCGCATCTCTTGCACGTGGACAGCCCCGTGTGGGCGTGTTCGGGTCACAGTACCCTTGGTACCCCGGGATTCCAGGCTTCCAGGCTTGCTGGAGACTCAGATTCCAGCCACCTATGATTCAGGTGCTTGGCTGAACAGCTACTAGAGTCATTAAGGTATAGAAATAGAACAGCTATTGTGTAGTAATTGCTTCCAAATTAAGCCGACACCCTCAGCTCAGCATGGGAGGACTAGTGTCCCACTCCCTGCCCACAGCACAGCAGTGGCCCGACTGGCCCCTCTGTCAGCCTCCTGATGTTTCTCCTCAGGTCAGGAATGCCCTCTCTATTCAGGGTAAACCCTGCCCCAGCTAGAACGCCCGCTGCAGAAGGCCTCAAGTTCCAAACAATTCCGTGCTGGCTGCCCCTCACCATCACCTGGGAGTGCTTTTAAGACACCCAGCTCAGCCGAATCTCGGGGGGGGGGCGGGGCCCAGGCATAGCACCTTTGAAAAGTGGCGACTCCACAGTACATCTGGGCTGCCCAGGCCCTCAGCGCAGCAGCCGCCCGCAGGCCTGGGAGGGCAGCGCACCCCTCCGCCTCTGCCACAGGCTCTGTCCTCTCACGTCTGTCCCACCCCTGCCCCTTCTGTCCTGAACACTGCCCTCCACCCCCACTGCCTGGCCTGGAGCACCGAGACGGGGCTCTCAGCTCAGCTCAGGAGTTGGAATCACCCACCGCTGCAAAAGCCAGTGATAAAGCCAGGATATCTGAGGGTGGAGGCGAAGCAAGCACTTGTAGCTCTCCGTGAAACTATAATTTATAATAATATTTACATAATACTATTGTAAATAATATAATTTATAACATTTACACAAACCATAAATAATTATAATTTGCAATAATATTGCAAATGAAATTTGCCTATTAGAAGTACAACGTGTAACCTGCGTTGAGAAGTTCTGCCCTGAGCTCTCCCCAGTACCCATGCATGGAACTGAAAATGAAAACCGTTCCCAACCCTAAAGCAGGTCTGAAGAAGCCCTAGGAAACGGATGCTGAGCTGCATGAGGTCCCGGGTTCGTCCTCACTCTTCCCCGAGTCCTGAGGGCCGGGCCGGCCTCTAACCCAGCGCCCCCTCTCCGAGCCACCCTGCCCTCTTGGACACCTGCACGGCGGAGGGGGACTCCGCGGCCCCGGGCTTGGCGGCGCAGCGGCTGGCGTGGCCGTGACAGAAGCAGGTCCCCTGCAGACGTAGCTGGGACACCGAGAAGAAGGCGCTGGGAGGCACGTAGCCCCTGCGGGGCACGGGGGCCAGCTTGGTGAAGTTGACTCTCCAGTTGGTGATGTCGCCCAGCTCTGAGCGGGTCGCGGCAGGGAGGGACCGGGAAACGAGAGGAAGAGGCGGGAAGTCAGAAGCCAAGCCCGGAGTCAGGGGCTAAGGACGGCGCTGGGATCTGCCCGCCGAGAAGCCACCTGCACAGGGCCCCCAGCCCGCCTCCCTGGCCCCTTCTTCGCCCGCGTCCCAGCTTCCCTGCGGGCTACGCAGGCCGGCTCCAGACCCCAACCAGGTTGGAAAAACTGGAGGGAACAGGAAATGTCACGACCCGGGCTGCAGCGCCTCCCGCCACTCGCAGTCCCACCGCAGAAGAGTCGCCGCACTAACCTCGAATTTTCTGGCTTTGAGTCGCTGGGATCCCAGATGCTAAATCCATGAGGTTAAGCTGGAGCTGTGCAGAGAGGGGAGGAGAGCAGCGAAGAAGAGGTGAGCGGCGCCCCTCCCAGAGGAAGTCTCCTTCCGGCCACACCTAAAACCGCCCTGACTGAGGCTGCCCCCTGCCCCAGGGAGCCGGACCGCGGGGCCATGTGCGTGCGTGCGTGCGTGTGCGTGCATATGTCTGTGTACTTCTCTCTCAACATATAGCTGTTGCAAGAATTTCCTGATTTCCCTGGGTCAAAATTATGGCAAATGCACAATCTGCACATGAGGAATCAGCAGACAGGATGAAGGGAGGGGTCCGGAGCCCAAGAGCCTGTGGATGTAGCAACCGCAGCCCTGGACAACCTGACGTCAGCGAGCCTTTCCTGCGTGATGAAAACCATTCCTTCCAGGTGACGTCCCTCGCACACCCTTGCTTTTCACGTCAGCCCCCGCAGGTCAGAAGGAAGTCCTGGGCCCTGATCTAGACTCGGTCCAGAATGCAACCAAAGGGGACGGTGCCACCTGAGGGCAGCAGAGGTGCCCGGGGTGGGTGGCACTCTGAGCATCCGTCCAGAGAGCGCTCGGGCTCACTGTGCTCCTCAGCCAGGGGAGGGAGCAGCAGCCCACAGCCTCCTCGGCCGGGCAGTGAAGAACGGTTTGCGGGGAAGCACTCTAGGCTCTAGGTGACCGAGCCCGAGTTCTCACTCCTGGCTGAGGTGACCTGGGACTCTGGGTGACAAATTTCCCTCCAAGGACTAGAATTGGGGCAGATGAGTAAATTAACCCAAAAAGTCATTTGTGAGTTTAATGTTATCAGCGTAAAAATAAATTTGTGCAGTTTGCTCATTTGCATGTAAGGAGTCATCCTGAGGCCCTTGCGCTGGAGCCGAGTCCATCCTCCCCCTTCCTCGAGGTTGGGCCACCCAGCCCTGTGGGAGGAGGCCCTGGAGGAGGCCGGGCGGCCCACAAGGGAAGCTGGCCATGGTGTCCTCTCCTGTTTCCAAGCATCCCGTGGCTCTGAGCCAGCCACACAGGGCGCCTCTCGGGCCCACTTCCCCAGGGCCCCTCTACCTACCTTCCCGCCATTTAGCTGCCCATTAGCCTTCTGGGGCAGGGTCCGGCACCGTGCATCCAGCCAGCTCTGGGGCTGGCCCTGGTGGACCCCAGGGAAGGCAGAGGCGCAGTCGCCAGCCAGGTACTGGTACACCCGCCAGGTCTTGCCGAAGTCTGAGGAGCGCTCGATCAGCATGCCAGCGGGCACAGGCCCCTGCAGAGACAAGGAGGGGTCCTGAGTGACTGGCGGGAGGGAGGCAATGTGTGTACCTGCGGGGACACAATCACAGAGAGCAGCTCCTCAGGCGGGAGGAAGAAAGGGCCCCAGCAGGACCAAGTGGTCTAATCCTCCTGGCAAACCACAGGCCTCTGCAGTTCATCCCCAGGAGAACCGTGGAAAGTAGTGGAAACAAGATCTGTATTCCAGAAGGTGTGATCCCTAGCCAACCCCCAACTCCGCCCCGGCTTCCAGGCCAGAAAATTCTGCCCTAGCATTTCCCACAGCCATTTTTATTCCTCCTAGACCTGAGTCCACCCTCTCTCCACTGTGGCCATCGATGGCCCCAGATCAGGCTGTGGTCATGCTGGCCTGAATCACCGCCACAGTCTGGAAATACCCCAAGCCACTGTCGCACATCACAGAGGAATCTTCCCGGTGGTTATCTGATCAGCACATCCTTCACCCCATCTGCACTGTCCCAAAGATAAGATGCAAGCTCCTCGTGTGACCTCCTGCGTCCCCACTCCCTCCCGGGGTGAGGCCATCTGCTTCTTAGCTTCAACCATGCAGATTCAGAACCCTAAAAAGCAAACCCCAAGTCAGGCCACCTCTCCAGCTTCAACACCACCTCCTATGTCCCTCCCTTCCCTCATAGGCGCTTCTGATTTCCCCTTGTTCACTCTTACCTGGTCACACCAGCCACCATACAAAGACCCTTCTTTGCATCTCTCCAATGACCAGTGATGTTGAACATTTTTTCACATATTATTTGCCATTTCTACTTCATCTGAGAAGTGTCTATTCATTACAGGTGCCCAGTTTTGGGTTTGGTCTTTAAACTTTATACTTAATTTAAATATCTTTGTCTGAGGAACAGCTGGAAAAAAATTTTTCCCACCTGTGGGTTGTCTCTTCACTCTGTTGATGATTTCTTTGGCTGTGCAAAACCTTTTTAATAAGATGAGATCACAGTTGCTGATTCTTTTTAATATTTCCTGTGTGATTGGCGTTTTATTCATAAAGTGTTTGCCTGCACCTATGTCTTCAAGAGTTTTACCTATTCTATCTTCTAGAAGATTCATCTCACCCCAGAAAGAATGACTGTTATCAAGAAATCAACCAATAATAAATGCTGGCGGGGGTGTGGGGGAAAAGGAACGCTTCTCCATTGTTGGTGGGAGTGCAGACTCGTGCAACCACTGTGGAAATCAGTATGGAGATACCTCAAAGAACTAGGGCTAGAGATCCCATTTGACCCAGCTATTCCCCTGCTAGGTATCTTCCCAAAAGAATTAAAAGCATCAGGCTGGGGTATTTAGTTCAGTGCCACTGTGCCTGCCTTGCAAGCACAAGAACCTGAGTTCAATCCCTGGTACCAAAAAAAAAAAAAAAAAAAGAGAATTAAAAGCATCATACCACAGTGATCTATGCACACCCATGTTTATATTGGCACAGTTTGTAACAGCTAAATCTTGGAAACAGCCCAAATGCCCATCAACTGATGAATGCATGAAGACGTGGATTTTTATATAATGGAGTACTAATCAGACAAAGAAGGGTAAACTTGAGACATTTCTAGGTAAGTGGATGCACCTTGAGGCCATACTCTTAAGTGAAATAAATTGGATACACATGTGGAAATATTGGATTGTTTCTCTGGTGTGAGAAACCAAAAGTGTAAATAAGGACTAAAATGTATAACAGATATTGTAAAATAGGAAGAAAATGTTAAAATAGGATTGGAAACTGGGGGTGGGGAAGGAATGGAAAACAAGAAAAGAAGGAAGAAATGGAAACAAAGCTTTTGTAAATAAGGAGGGGAAGAGGGGTTGAAGGGAGGGGAAGGGGAAAAAGAAGAATCAAGAGAGATCATGGACAGGTTCAGAGTCCCTAAGGTGAAATATAGATAGATAGATAGATAGATAGATAGATAGATAGATAGATAGAGATAGAGATAGAGATATATCAGTACACTTAATTTTTAAAAAGAGCCTTCTATATAAAATATAATATGGACTGTATCACTACTCTGCTGAAATTCCTCCAACCCACTGTGGGTTATCGCCAACAAGGTCACAGGGATGGGGCTGTCCAAGCCTTTGGTGACCCACACCGAACCACCCTGTGCCCTGGTGTCGGCCATGGAGCTGTAGGATTGAATATTTGCCTTTCAGGGTTTCAGTCTTGCTTTGGCCCAACCCCTCCCCTCTATGACCCTAGTCCCCATTTTTGCAATGAGAGTGTTGACCCCATGCCTGCCCACAACTGCATACTGGAAGTATGTAACATTTTAAAATTTTTTCAAGGACTCACAGCTAAGAATTTGCCTTAAGTCTCAGAGAAGACTTGAACTTTCAGGCAATGAGGGAACTTTTAAGACTATGGGGACTCTTGGAGATGGACTGAATGCATTTTGCATTGTGAGATGGACATAAACCTTTGGGGGCCAGGGACAGAATCATATGGTTTGGATATTGTTATGGTTCATATCTAGATGTCTCCACCAAAGCCTCATGCACTAACAGGTGGGACTTTCAGGGAGGTGGGTGGATCATGGGTGTGTGATAACTGGATTAGTACACTGATAGGTTTATCACAGTTCTGGGTGTAGATGATGGGAAGGCCCACCGTGGGTGTGGGTGGCACCAACCAATAGGCTTGTAGCCTGAATGGAATAAAAAGGAAAAGGAAGGCTCATGGCTTGCTGCTTCTGGCATCCATGCCATGGACCATTTCTCCTCTGCCATGCCTCCCTGCCTTGCAGGAAGCCAACTATGAACTGAAACAAACTCTAAGCTGAAATAAACTTTTCTTCCTTTAACTTTTAGGTGTCAAATATTTTGTTCCAGCAACAAGAAAAATAACAAGACAGATTTTAAATATCCCCAAAAGTTCAACTGTTGAAGGCTTGGTCCCCAGCTGATGGCACTAACGGGAGGTAACAGAAACTTTAGTAGGTAGAGCCTAGTCACAGGAAATAGGAGGTCATTGGGGTATGCCCTTAAAGGGGATACTGGAATGATGGCCCCTTCCTCTCTGTCTTTTTCACTTCTTGGTTGCCATTATGTGAGTAGCTTACTTCCACCATATGCTCCCTACCATGATATCCATCCCTGCCACAAGAGCACAGTGACAGAGCCAAGTGGCCATGGACTGAACCCTCTAAAACTATAAGCCAAAATAAATCTTTCTCCCCCTTTTTTTTCTTTATTTTTGGTACCGGAGATTGAACTTGTGTCCTTGCGCTTGCGAAGCAAGTGGCAGACCCACTGAGCTAAATCCCTGGCCCCTCTCCCTTTTACATTGATTATCTCAGAGACTCTGTCACAGTGATGGAAAACTGACTAACATATCCACTATTACAATTAGATCTACAGTGTCTGCAGAAGGCCACACGTTAAAGGTGTGGTCTCCAGCTAGTGCTGCTATTGGAAACTTTAGGAGGCAGGGCCAGGTTGAAAGGGAGGGTCGCTGGGCATGCACCTTTGAAGGGTATATTCTGTCCCTGGACTGACTGCCCCCTTTCCTAGCTGCTATGAAGTGATCAGCTCTGCTCCACCACACACACTTTGTCATGATGTTCAGCCTCATCTCCAGCCCAAGTTGACCATGGACTGAAACCCCTAAAACCATGAGCCAAAATGGATCCTTCCTTCTTTAAGCTGAATTTCTTAGGTATTTTGTTACAGTGACAGAGAATTCATCCAGCATACCTAAAATCTGCATTCCTGACCCTGAGTGAGGAGGCCCTGTGCTCCTGAATGCTGGCAGCACTTCTCCTCAGTTCAGACCACCCTCCTTCTGCAAGTTCTAGATCACATCAGCTCAGTCCTCCTCCTCAGCACCTCTGCACTTCTCTCTCTTCTGGTTGGAATACTCCTCCCCAGTGCTGTCCTTCTGCTCATGTTCTCAGTTTAAATGTCATTTCTTCATGGAGATCTTTCCACACCTGTCTAACCTGCATTTTTCTATGTATACCCTGCCCACTCATCTATTCTTTCTTATTCCAGCATCTTGTTGCCTTCAGAAATGTCACCACAATTTCCAAGTATTTATTTGTGGGTTTTCTTTTTACTCTTTACTCAATAGGCCAAGATTTCTCAATCCCAGCACTGTTAATATCTTGAGCTTGACTCACTCGCAGGGACACCCTGCGTACCATAGGATGGGTGGCAGCATCCCTGACCCCTCCCTTCCGGGTTTCAACTTCATACCCACAACCAGTGATGTCCCTTGCACATCCCTGGTTTTCATGTCAGCCCCTGCAGGTCAGAAGGAAGTCCTGGGCCCTGGTCTAGACTTGGTCCAGGATGTAACCAAAGGGGACGGTGCCACCTGAGGGCAGCAGAGGTCCCTGGGGTGGGCGACACTCTGAGCATCCGTCCAGAGAGCGCTCGGGCTCACTGTGCTCCTCAGCCAGGGGAGGGAGGAGCAGCCCACAGCCTTCATCACTACATCACAAAATCCATCACTGTGACAAAGTATCTGCGATAATCAACATAAAAGGGAGACAACCAGAAATGTCTCCAGAAATTGCCAAATGTCCCATGGGGCAGGGAGAGGGTAAGATTACCCTTGGTTGAGTACAGTGCACCAGATGGGAGGCCCTCTTGCTGGTCTTGCTCACAGCTGTACCCCAGCATCTAGTGTGCAGTAGGAGCTTAGCCTGTACTGGTCGAATGAACGGCGTGTCTCTAGTCTGCACACCTGTAAGTTCATCTCTCCCAGACACAAACACATTTTACCCTCCAGAGCAATGTGCATTCCTCCGTCCCTCTCAATTATATGCTGACTTGTTTCTTGCCCCCTGGTCTTTGTACTGGCTGCTCTCTCTGCCTGAAATGGACACTGGCCTTACCTGGCTAGTATTGGTCTGGGTGCACTCTCTGGAACCCCCACACACTCGAGGCAGACCTCGCTAGATGCCCCCTCCCATGCTTGTGAGAACCTCTTCTCACCAACGTTACATCTTCCAACACACTCACTCCTAGGTCTCTATGAAAGCTGTAAAAGCAGCTTGAGGCTGGTTGGCTTGGTTTACTTATCTTCCTATTTAACATCTGACATCAAATATAACATATAATCAGTGCTCAATCTGTATGTGGCAAGAACTAATAAAGGGTGAGTGATGACAGAGCAACGAGACTCTTTAACAATATCCAAATGAATGTTGCCTTCAAAACTGTCAGCTTTAGGGACTCGACATCTGTTCAAACGATGGTGGCGTTTCTCAAAATCCTTTTGAGCTTTCTGTAGAACGTAGCTCTTCGAGCCAACTTCCTCAGTCATGTAAGAAATTAGGTCTCATCGCTCTTCACTCCAAGCTCATTTTAACTTCTGAAAATCATGAAACCCTTCCTGGTTATCTAACCTTATTAACCAAATGTGATCTTTCACATTTGACTATTCCTGTAGAACAGAACAAAATCGTTTTCTAAAAGGAAAAAGATGACCTGGCATAAATGGATGAAAATGTTCCCTTCAAAAGAGGTATCTCAGAAACCAGTCTAAAAGAGGATGTGAAGGTCCTTTGAGAAGAAATAGCACTGAATGAAGGGATTGTTCACCAAGGGAGCTACTCCAATGCAACACCCTTCATATGGACAGGCAAGTTCTTGGCTGTTGGTTAAACTCAATCTCTTCTATAAAATTTTTTTTTTGGTACTGGGGATCGAACTCAGGTCCTTGTGCTTGTGGGGCAGGCGGCAGAACCACTGAGCTAAATCTAAATCCCCAGCCCTTCTTCTACAAAATTATTAAAATAGAGTACAAGATGTGACCAAAACTATGGTGAACACTTGAATTTTTTTAATTCTAGTAAAAGCCCACTGTCGTTAATCGCCCTTAACACACGGCCTCGCTTCAAACACCTATCCCATTGTTCTTGTCACTTCCTACAGCAGTTCAAGAAGTCTCTTTTGTGAGTGTCTTTAGTTGCACTGTCGTGGCTGCCTCTATATCCTGAGCCAATTCAAAATGTTTACCTTTCATGGTCACCTTGACTTTAGGGTCACACAGTGCCAGATCCAGTGAGTAAGGTGGATGAGGATACATTGTGATGTTTTTAATTGTTGAAATTGACTTAAATGTTTTGAATCAAGGCAGGGCACCAAGGCTGCCACAACAGTCCAACTGAAGACACTCACGAAAGACTTCCAGAACTGCTTCAGACAGTGACAAGAACAAAGCAACAGGGAGTGTTTTCAGGGGATTAATGGCAATGAGGCGTTTATGGTAATAAATTAAATTCAAACATTCCCTGCTGCACAAGACTGCAATATGGATTGTGCCCAAAGCAGGCTGTACCAGTGCGGGCTGTGAAGCGCTAACCCCACGACTGGCTTGTTTATAGGAGTGAGTCTGGCTAAAGCCTACGTGCCGAGGTCAGAGTAACTCGCACCCAAACTCCATTCCCACAACTAAAACTTTCAGACTAGAAGGACAACATTCTAATTACAACTATATATTTTGCCCATTCTGTTCCTAATTTGAGAATGCTTTGTCTTGTCTTTTACGAGCCTTGCTTACATTAATTTCCACAGACACCGCACAACTACACATCCTTGCACGTAGTACTGACCTTGCACATAGTTCACCTTTACCCCAGTTGATTGCCAATAACAATCAGTGGCTTCGACTGGCCAGGGCCTTTGTCAGTTGCACCAGCATGGGTCGTCCTGGCCCTGCTTTCTGACTTGGTTCTGTCTTTGAGTTTTTTCTCAGGCCTGCATGGTACACTGAGCAGGAGGCTGGAGCCTACTGCTGCAGAGGTTCCCAGTAACTTTTCAGGGGTCCCTAGTACCCTCTATTATTTGATCATATCTTGTATGTAAGAATACACAATTACATAATGAGGAACCAGGCCCAGCAAAGTTGGTACTTGGCAAACTGAACTAATCAGATGGGTTGAGGGCGAGGGGTACCGAGAGGAAGAGGCTGCACAACCACAGCATGACCAAGACAGGCAGCTGGAAGGAGCCCCCGTTCTCCCAGGAGCTGGTCCTCTGGTGTCCCAGCCGGGAGGGGCCGGCCCGGCATGTGCCACCATCACCCAGCCTAGGGCAACAAGGGCTCTGCTCCTTCCCAGCCCGAGCCCACGTGGCCCGGGCTCCCTTGACATCCTCCCCAGCAGGCGTACCTTAAATTCCATCATGATGCCCTGAAGCTGAAACCTCCTGTCCAGGTCCAGCTGCAGAGAGACAGGGCTCACATCTGGAAGGTCAAAAGTAGAAGCTTTAGGCCAGAGGGTCCCCACCTTCCAGCCTGGCCCAAGGCTCTGCACTGTACTCACCCTAGGAACCCCAAAACTCCCCAGCCTTGATACTCTAACTTCCCGAGAGAGGAGTGGACCAGTAAGTCTCTTTTTAGGTGATCCATTAAAGGCTCTTACCTGTTTCTGCCAAATTTTCTCCCCACTGTCACCTGATGCCTCTAATACTGGAAGGCATTCAACTTGTCTTTTTGAAACCAATCTGTCCCGAGAGCTCAGTTCCTTCTGCATGCCCACCCATGGAGAGTAAGTGGAGGGAAACAAAGGCAGGCCTCTCTCCTCTTACCTGCTCCTCCGCCTCCACAGACTTTTCCACCTACAGCATCCAGCAGACCCCAAACACAAAGCTGGGAGGTTCTGTCTGCCACCCTCCCACACCCATACCACAAGACATGCTGAGAAACCCGAAGAGACCCTGAGATCTCCACCCCACCCTGTAGAGCCCCACGAGTTTGGCTCCTGTTGGTGGTAGTCCTCACCATTCTGTGACTGCCACCAGCGCATGGGGCCTGAGGACGAAGCCACATTCTCCACTCGGTGACTGTTGTAATTGTGAGGCAGCCTGGAGTCGCACTTGCAGCATTTCATCTGCCACTGTGGGAGAGGAGATGACAGGCTCAGGGCAGGGCCCTCAGACTCCTCCCTTCTCGTCCCGAGAGGCCCAACCTCAGGGATGCACAGTTTTCAGCATGCACTTGGAAGGTGCCTCTCTAACCAGGCCACAGGCCATCTTTTAATGCAATTTCTGCGTTCCTCCTGACATATGGCAAGGGAATGGTAAGCAGACGTTGGCTATTTATTTATTGTGGAAGAAGCATGTGGTGGCAGGAAAAATCATCTCAGCAAATGAGATTGCCCCGAGGAGAAACAAGAAGGGTGCTAAGGACAGAAAGAAGAAAGGAGGAGAAATCCACATTAACTGGCCACCTGCTGTCTGTGTGCACCACTACAAAGTTTATACCCAATTTCATTTACTGGGGAATACTGAGTTCTTGAGGGTCAGAAAGAGGGGACAACCAAACAAGAGAAGGAAACTCAGGTGCCCTCACTAGCTGCATCACCCCATCTCCTAGGGGCAGATTTTCCTATAAATTGAGTGAGGTTGGACTAGTCATTCATTCATCCCACAGCAGCACTTGTCGGGCGTGTGCTGTGTGACAGACAGGGCTCTGGGCACTAGAGCTAGGACAGTGAACAAAGCAAAGCCCCAGCCCTCAGGGAGCCACGTGGGGGTGACAGGACATGATCTACAGGCTTCCACCTGGACTTCCACCTGGGACCTCGGGGTCTCTCCAGGCTCAGGAACCAGGTCTGCAGGAGAGTCGCAGCCTTCCCGGGAGGTCCCCAGCAGAGTCAGGGAGCCAGACCCTCGGAGTGGGAGGAATCACGGCTGTGAGGCAGTACAGGGATCACTAAGAAAAGGCTCATGGCAGAGAGGCCTCCTGCTCCTTGTCATTTAAGTTCGTGCCTATGCGTGCACATACACACACATGTAGGTGTGTACACACAACACAGATATAACATGACCATGTCCTGGCACCACGTGATCCACACATAACATGTGTTTTCTCCAAGTAGCCATGATGCTGAGCCCCTGCCCGGCTTCCAGGGCACTGCCTGGGGGCTATAGACTCAGTCACAACTGAAAGCCAGGCTTTGACGAGAACTCACGGGCCTACTGGTACCATGTGGGCTGGGCCAACTGTACCTCCATCATCCAGGCCTCTGCTTTCTCCTAAACATCATCTCCCCAGAACCAAGAAGGAGCTTCCTGTGTCTGGAAAGGCCATGTGCTAGCTGGGCCGATGGCCCGGAATGCGTGGGCACCCTGATCAGGATGGATGAACCTGACAGCTCCGCTCCAAAGAGGCCAAGTGAATGTGCGGGGCCTGTGCCTGGAGTCGTGGAAACTCCCTGCCCCACACCACCTCCCTCTGCAGAGCTGGAAGTAGCCCAGCAGAGAGCCCAGAGCCCAGGTGCTGCTCTGTGGGCCTCTGCTCCCCACCCACTCTCCAGCTCACCCCAGTCTGCAGGAGGCACGCCTGTCACGTCCAAAATCGCCATCCTTAGCACTGCGTGCCACTCAGAGAAGAGGTCTGCACATGCAAACTGGCGCCACCACCACCCTTCCCCTCCCTGCCAGGCCGTTCCCTTGCCCTGCTATATTCTTCCTCGGAGTGGCTTCTCCGCTGGACATTTTGTGCATTTAGTGTCTATCTGTTTGTGAATTATGTGCCTCCCCTGCTAGAATGCACCCTGCACCAAGGCAGGGGCTTGCTTCCCTTCGCTGCGGTATGTTGGTGCTTGGAACACAGCACTACTCTGCCATGAAGGAGATAAACTGCAGGCATGTGTGGACAAATGAATGCATCTCGGGACCACAGTATTAAATGACATAAGCCAGATACACAAGCTTAAATGCCACGTAGTTCCTCTTACATAAGTACTGAATACATATATATACACATATATAGGGGATGAAAAAAGAGAACTGAAGAACAATGAAAGCAGAGCTGCTGCAAATGGGAAGGGGACCGGCAGTGGGAAGGAGCAGGAAGCGGGGGACTGAGGCGTGTTTTGTACCTGTACAACTCCCCACGGTAAATGCGGTCATCACATACTGCAAACATGGACCAAAAAAGGGAAAAAGAAAAGGCCCTAGCACATAGCAGGCCCTCACTCATACCTGTTCAGTAAATGAGTGAGTAGCAAATATTCAAATCTGCCGACTACTTTCATTAACATATTGCCCGACATTCCTGTCCTGCACTCAGGGAGGTTTTAAAGCAGGAATGAAGAGAGAGGAGGATCCCGCCTCATCCTGAGGGACAGAGTAGCTGCCACGTTCCAGAAACCACGTCAGGTGACTTCAACCCAACAACCTGCCTACACCTCACAACAGCCTTATGTGGTAAGCAGATTCATCCCCTCTTACGGATGAGAGAGCTGGCAGGACACTCCTGCTGCCTGGTCTCCAGTGTCAGCCACCTCCCTGTCCCATCTCTGCCGCTGTCTCTGGCGCTCTGTCCGACCCTCTCTCCCTGCAGTCCCCGCCCTTCTCTCTTATGCTCTCATTTCAGCTGCCCGGCAGATCTCCTGGGAACGTGGGAGGAAGTGATCTCTCTCTCTCTATCTCCCAGCGGGCCTCACGGAGAGCTTATTCTGCCTCTGGGGCTCATCTCGGGGTGGCTGAGGCAGAGCGTGCACTGTCAGAAGGAATCTGGCTTCCCCAGCTAGCCTGGCTCAGCTGCACACAGGCTGCAGATGCGCCACCCGCTGACACAGCTGGCACTTAGCATAACCCTTTCTGGACAGGGAAGGCTCCTGCTGGAGTCTGACCCCTCTAGAGCTCTGTCCTTGTCCTTGGCAGGGGACATGTCCTGCTCTGCACTCTGCCCAGCCTCCTGGTAGTTTTCCATTCCTCATCCTGTTTGCACACGGCACATGTCCAGAGGAGAGACAGGGCCAGCTGCCTTCCTGGGACGCGCACGAAGTCACACCCCGCCCCCCAGCCCGCTCTGCCGGGAGCTGATCCCAGGCCTCCCGGCCAGGAGAACAGCAAAAACAAGGCTTTCTCTTGCCAGGGTCATGGACAGGGTGCTGGGGACTGTGGAAATGCCTCTGACACTCCCAAGTGATGTGCTATTATGTGACTACTAAAAGCAGTTTAAATTAAAAAATTAATTGCTTGTAAATTAATTACATTGTATTTCATGAGGAAAAAGTTAGGTACAAGCTTGTATATGCGCTAGGATCTCAAATGCATACAGTATTTTAAAGGAACAGAAAATGTTTGGTAGGAGATACACCAATATACAGGTATCAGGTGATACTTAACACATTATCCATACTCAGGATAATAAAACAAAATAAACTGGAGATGTCCAGGGTGTTTGGCGCGGCTCGCTCCCTGCCTTGCTGTCCTTCCAGGCGCTGCACGCCTCCTCCACCCTCCATTCACGCGCACAGCTCAGCTGGGTCAGACCGCCTCACGGGCTCCTGAACTACATGCCACTTATCATAGTAACAGCTCCAGGAGGGATTTGGCTCAAGCCTCAGGGCAGCATAAGCCAACAGGCTTGAGTCAGGTATTTTAAGCAGCTCCGCTCATCAGCTAGCAGTGGCTACCTCAGAAGCCCATGTAAAGACAACCTGCACATTTCTTCTTTCCTGCTGAGCCTCAGTTTCCCTCTGTAACTTACTCTCGTACTCTCACACGTAGTGTGTGCATGAATACACGTGTGCATGTGTCTGGCTCTCAGGGTGAGGCTCCTCCTCCTGCATGTTGCGTGCCTCCACCCATACCCCATGGAAGCTCTTGCTGTACTGGCAGCTGCTCTGGTCCATCCAGCCAGCACTCTCCGGCCTCTGCTGCCTTCAAGATGCAGTGTTATCATCAGTGCAGCCTGGCTGGCCTCCAGCCAGTTTGGCTCCCACTTGCTCTCCAGCTGGAAAGCTGAGCTTTCTCCTTTCTCCTAGAGCTTTCTAGTCACTAGGCAGTCTGGTGGAAAGACAAACCCTACCAGTGAGCAAGGGGAGGGCAGCAGAGTGGGCAAAAGCCAGCGGGGGCCTGAGTCACAGCAGAGAGGGCTGGAAAAAGAAGACACATGCTAACACAAGCTCTGCATCTCTGCAAAACAAGGAAACAGGCTCTGCTCCTTCCATGGGGGAGCCGGGGGCTGCCTGTGTCCATCTAAGAAGCTACCGTCAGGGTCATGGCCACCAGCCAGGGCCAGGAGAAGGAAGAACCAAAACAAACAGACAGAAAGTCCAGGGTTGATGAGATAATGAAGCTCCGTCTTGCTCTAACTTGCTATTACAATTCTCCCCATCCAGCTTATCGGCCAGAAGTTAAAAGCACTCTCCCCATAAGTATACAAAGAAGTAAGTGAAAAATCAGACACAGCCCAGACGCTACACTGGAGAAACTCTCTTCCCAGCAAAGAGGGCAGCGGGAGGAGCCCAGAGGCCTCTGGTCGGCAAGGCATCCTCAAATTCCATGAGCTCCAGAATTTCTACATCGATAGACATGCCGGGAAAGATCAACAGTCAGGACCCGTGGCAAGTGCTGAGTGGGAGGACTCTTGCGATTGTTTGGGGCCACTTTCAACTTCACCTTCTTTCATCATGAAGTAAAACAGGATCAAAACCCTTACTAAGGGGCCAGGGATTTAGCTCAGTGGTTCCACCGCCTCCCCCAAAAGTGCAAGGGCCCAAGTTCCATCCCCAGTACCAAAGAAAACTTTAATAAGGACGGCCCTGTCTGCAGAAGTCTGGAAAAGTCTCTTTCTGACTACAGAGATGTGGGTGTGTACCACACACTCCGACATCACACTGCTCCGGCCTCGCTCCTGAGCACTGTTTTAGCCTTCCCAAGTCCCTGGGGGGTACGTTACACCATACAAAGGGTGGGTATCCCTATTTTACAGCAAGCTGAGCCTTGGAGAAGGTAAGAAATGTGGCCCACACACAAAGCCACGAAGGGATGAGGCAGGGATTCTCATCCCAGGCCTCTAGCTCCAACCCACCCATGTGGCAAGCAACAGAATGGCTTGGTAACCACCGGAAACTGCACAGACTAGAGCTGGTCTCAGGACACCCCCTTCCTTCCTCTGCCTCCACCCCGAGAAGAACAGCCTCCACTCTAGCACAGACCTCTCCAGAAACAAGGCTGTCATGCTAGGTCCCAGTGCAGAGTTGGCTTGTGTGTCAGGAACTTTTGCAGGATCCATCAGTGGCGATGGCTCCTACAGTCCCTGCCATGAACTCAGGCAGACGGTAAAGGCTGGCAAAGAGGCAAGGCAGGTCTGCAGGTCTTTGCCTTGCCTGAACCCCAGCAGCCAGCAAAGTGGTATCCCTAGGCCTTCCCCTCTTTCAGCTTCACAAGCCCCACTTTGTAAGCTGTCACTGCCAGGACCCCGGAGTCTTACATTCCACCAACCAAAGTGTTGATTCTCTCCGATAGATAGCAGCTCTCCTAGAATCCCAAAGCCCTTTTCCGTTTTCTTTTATCCTCTGAGATGTGACTCACCCTTGGTCTGACTCTCTGGGGATCATTTTCAAAATCCACGGCTAAGTTTCTGATACACAGATGCACAGGTACGGGCAGCTGGCCACAGGCCTAAATGGGGATTGGTGTCTTTCCTACGGGGATTGCGTTTAGATCCAGGGACTCAACGGTGCCTCAGTGTCAAGAGTCTTAGGAGTTTTAGACCTTCTTAGAACTTGGAAACAAGCAGATATTTTGGTCAGACAGGCCTAAGGGTCAAGACAGCAGGCAGTGAAGGGGCTGGGCAGGTGGCTCAGTGATGGTGCCTGCCCAGCATGCGGGAGGTACTGGTCAACCCCCAGCCCAGCCAAGTGATTGACTGATAACTGACAGAGTTACCAAACAGAGACAGGCAGTGGCTTGCGGAGTGTGCACAGGTGGGTAAGAGAGGAGGGGACCTCTAACTGGCTGCCATCCCCCAGCTTCCTTGCAAGCGATACAATGACAGCTGTTTGGGTTACTCACTCAATTAACCTGAGAAGGGCTCTGCGTAAGACTGTTATCAAGGCTACTAGGTAAGTAATTAAGCTTCCTCTAGAAAGGGAGAGAATAAATTAAAGCACTTAGGGGAGCAGACTCAACATGAGATGTGCTCGGGAGCAGAGACCAGGCTGGGAAGCTTCCAGAGCAGCCCTGGTTCCTGCAGAGTGTGCAGCAGCCCAGATGAGAGAGGGCGCGGCTCAGCCCCGCGCCAGTCGGGCGTGAGGTGTGCAGGTCCTCAGGTCATGCACGCTGCCCGCTGCCCTGAGAAATGAGCAGCCCTCAGAGCTGGGCAGACGTGGAGGCCGACGGACCCAACTCCCGCATTTCCCATGAGGAGACGGTGCAGGGGAGGAGCCCTGACCCTCGCCCGGCCGCGTCCTATTCTGAGCATCAGAGCCGCCTGGCAGGAAGCCTTCACTCCAGCGTGGGGCAGCCGCACTTGCACTCGGGCCTTGGAGCAGAGTGGATGGCCCCGGACAGTGTGTGGCACGTGTCCTGCTGGGGGAGAGGTGCAGAGAGCATGGGGGCCCTGACGGGGCCACCTGTGCGTGCAGGAGCGGGAGAGAGAGGGCCGGGAGGGCCGGGAGGGCCGGGGGCACCTGCCGGGCAGTGCCTTCACTTGCACATTCTTCCTTGCAGCCAGTGAGCCCTGTCACTGCTGCTGTTTTCAGGTGAGGCCAGGGCGGTGGAGAAGCCACGGAGGCATTGCGTCCACCTTCATCCCACACGCAGCGAGGCTGAGGGAGTAACGGTGCGGAGCATTTGCCCAGATGTTGTCAGGGAGTTGAACAACAGCCTGGAACTGCAGCCTCGGCTTGTTCGGTAAGGAACTGCCTAGGCCAAGCCCAGACAGTTGACAGGTCAGCAGGCAGGGAGGCCCAGAGGGCAAAGCTGGGCAGAAAGCGCAACGGAGCCAAGCTGACCAAGTCCGGCGTCCACCAGGAGCACTGCAACCTGCACCCAAACCCCCAGAAGCAAGGCCTTGAGGCCAACAGGGCTTCACCACTGAGACAGGCTGGGCCACGGGAAGAGCAAGCAAACAGGCAAGGCCGGCCTGCAGAGGAGCCGCTTCGAAGCAGGCAGGAGCCAGGAGGGCCGGGCTGGGGAGGGAGAGGCTCTGGGGCTCAGGGGTCGCCAGCGAGACAGAAACACCCAGGGCCGAAGCCCCACTCCACTGGCCCCTGTGCCACCTGGGCAGCAGGTTCTGGGTGATTCTGTGCCAGCTCTGGGCTCGCCCATCGCGCCTGAGTGGAGACAGGATAGGATATGGAGCAGAGACCTGGACCCGAGCGAGGTGCGGACTTGGGTGGGGGCAGCAAGGACGCAGCTGGGGTGCCCAGGTCACCTCCCGGTGTCATCGCCAGGAGACTCAGCACCTCTGGGCTTCCACCAGGACCCAGGTCTGCACACACCGAAGCTCCTGACAGCTCACGGGTTAACAAGGCACACCTCGAGGGTACTGTGCAACTAACCGAGATAACACATACGTGCATATATTTGATATGACACCCAGGACACACAGAAAATGTGCTTAACAAATGACAGCCACTATTAGTGTCATTTAGGGACAAAGCATGCCAGGTGCAATGGCTTGCGCCTACCATCCCCGCTCCTCAGGAGACTGAGGCAGGAGGATCCCAAGCTTCAGGCCAGCCTAACGATTGAGCTGAGACCCAATCTCAGAAATCAATAAATAACACAAGTGAATCTAAAAGCTGAAACTGGAACCCCACACAGTTGAAACCCGAACTCCTACTTTCTGTCACACAGCAAGGTACGACGCACTGCCTCAGCCAGGCTCCCGGTGCCCACAACAGAGGCGGGAAGGGAGCCTGTGCAGGACCCTGTGGATGCTCCACGGGAAGCCACAGTGGTGAGGAGGGCAGGGATCGGGACAGGAAGGGGATGAAAGGAGACAGGCAGAAGGCAGGACAGAGGCGCGCTGTCCGCTGTCCGCAGTCTGCACCTCCCCAAAGGCTACGGGGCAAACTGGGGAACCCTCCGTCCACCGCCAGTCCTCACCCACGGAAGAGGACAGCGAGACGCGGATGGGGACCCCTCCGCGGAGGTCACACCACAAGGCGGGGCAGACCTGGGGTCACACACCGCCCTTGGGGCATCCCGGCCCTGCCTCTTTCCAAAGGTTACCTGGATTCATTTCCCCTCACAGAAAGAAAAGCCAGTGTGTGTCAGCTTTAGCCACGATTACCCATCCCCAGGGCTGCCAAAGTCCAGGCCTCTTCTGCAAGCACCCTGTTTGGGTCTCGGGGGCTGCTTTCAAGCAGGGAAGGCAGTGGGCTCCAGAGGACACCTGAGAGAGGCAGAGGGCAGGCTGGGAGAAGCCAGAAGCCGAGGCACAGCGGAGGACAGGCAGAGCAGGCAGGGCTGGGAGGGGCCGCACCTGAACCGACACGGAGCTCTCTTCCGCTTCCGGAAGACAGGCCAGGCTGGGGCCAGGCACCAGCAGTGGTCTCCCGGGGTGGTCAGAGCTGGGGTATGTGGGAAAGGGGCAGCTGCAAGGACTGCAGCCTAGAAAGCTCATGCTGCCAGGCCCCTGAGGCTGTGGAGTAAGTGGGACCCCAGGGAGCCCTCGCCTTACCCAACCCTGCCTAGTGGGCCTCCCCACATCCAAGTGGGTGAGGGCAGAAACCACAGCCGCCTCTGCTCACCCACTCCCAAGTCACTGGCCAATGCCATCTGTGATTAAAATAGCAAAGAGAACGCTGGGGATGGGAAGGACAGCGGGGCAGAGGCTGCGCTGGATGCCACCTCCCAGGCCCCTGAGGACAGGGCAGCCTGAAAAGGCGAAACCTCAGATGGCCAAGTCCCTGCATGGCACTCGGCCTGGCTCGCTTGCTTTCTCTCCCTCCCTCTCTCTTTTCCCCCAAGGCTGCAGGAGTCCGAGCAGAGCTCTCCTTGCTCAGCCCCTGGGCCAGTCTGCTTTGAGGGTAGTGAGGTGGCCTGGGAGAAGGCCAGGAGGTGAGAAAACACCAAGTGGTCTCATCTTTGGCAAACACAAGGAGTAAAGGAAGACTGCACCTTGCTGAGGGGGAAAGAGAAGAAAATCAAAGTTCCTACAAAAAAGGTTCAGAGGCAACGGCTCTTTGAAAAAGCCAAGCAATTTCAATCAATGTAGATCAAAGCAGAGTTCCTGGATGTATTCAGCTCCTTTTCCAGTCTATCAAATGAGTTTCTGACCTTCCCTGATAACCTCAAGTGGCTTCGCGCTTGTCTCACTGATCTGTGTCCTTGAACGAGTGTAAATGTGTCTCATTTGTCTGAGTGGGTGAAAGACATGAGCCACCACGGCTGACGGATAAAGAAAGTTGGCTCTTTTCGCGTGGCAGGGGAAAACACAGAAGGTAAACGTGAACACTGCTTGTGTATTCTCCAAGACCTACGATGGCAGCAGAGGGACTCAGTACAACTCGGCCCATGCCACAGCACGAGCGCCAGCCAACACACACAGCCTTGGCTTTGCCATCAGAGATGGCACATCAGACCCTCCATACCTAGGAGGCTGACATTTGTCTCTCTGCCTGTTCCCAAGGCCTAGAAGCCCACCCTCTGTCCATTCCCTGCTGAGAGGGGGCCCCAGCTTTATCCAGAGAAAGAAAGGCGCTGTTCGGTGGATGCTAAGCTCATTTTCTCTTGCCCAGCCAACATGCAGACCCCTCAGAGGCAGGAATCTGGCTTCAGACTTTCCTTGCTGCACACCCATCGCTGCCACCATGCACACTTGGCCTATACCAAGCACACGCTGAGTATTTCCCGAACAAATGGCAGGCTTACCCGCCGCCTCTTGGGCCCTGGAGGCTGAGGATGTAGGGCCTACCTCTCCATACTGGGTGCAGTAGGTCTCAGGCTTGGTCAGTCCGCAGGTGGAGGAAGCTCGGAGGAACCGGGTCCTCCCAAGCAGCAGGTCCCCGACAGGCGGGTAGCAGGCCCCACGGGAGCAGGCTTGTTGGGCGCACAGGAGGCCAGGCCAGGCTGAAATCACAGGGGGTTCTAGGGTGCAGCCTGGAGAGCAGAGGCTCGAACTGGCCCCCAGCACCCCCAGGGACCTGGCAGCGTGGCAGGACCAGACTTTCTCCTTAACTCATGCTCCTGTTCCCAGCTGGCAGGAGAAATTGCAGTCCTCATACTGCTGGGTGATCCTATCCCATAACACCAAACTTCAAAAGGAGAGAAGAAACGCTGACAACCAAAACCACAGGTGGTCCTGCAATTCAGCATCTACATGTGGCTTTCAGAGTCAAGTCAGAGACACTCTGGCCCACCAGGACATGGCCCGAGCTCCTTCCAACTACAGTGCATCCTCTAAGCCCAAGGAGGGCTGGCGAGAGGCATCTGTGGAACACTGGGAGACCTGCGTCCTCTCTGCTGCTTTATCTGCAAGGTTGGCCTGGCCACGATTTTCAAGTACCCAGCTACAGTTCACTGGGAAATGGCAAGGTCTCGCCATGGAACCAGAGAGAGTGAGATGATGGGAATCTCAAAGTGCAGAGCACTCAGGAAGCCACAAGCTACCCGGGAAGAAGACACCTGGGAGCCTTCCAGAAAGGCAGAGAATCCCCCTCCCCAGGCCCAAAGGAGAGGGACTCTAACGAGTGTCCCCACTGGACAAGTGCTCCGAACTCTGGGACAATAGACACTGTTCACACTTCAGTAAGCTCGCTCCTCCCTCCTGCTGCACCTCCCTGCCACCTAACAGGGCCTGGAGTGTGGGAAGGGACACTCACCGAGACACAGGAGGAGGAGTGGCCTCATGATCAGCAGATGGGTAGTCCCCACAGGACCCTCACCTGGGACAGAGCAAAGCGCCTGGTGAGATAGTCACATGCCCCTTTCCTGTTCTGCTTCTGTCCTCATGTTTCTCAGGAGTCTGCACCTGGCCACCCAGGGACCTGACTGAAGCCGCTCCTGAGCAGCAGGTACATGTGCGGCCCTCGTCCCAGCTGGTGTGCAACTCAGACATCCGCCCCAGACTTCAGCCTCCTCCTCTGAAATGGATGGGAACCCTGCCACCCGACGGCCCGAGCACACGCAGAGATGGAAGGGGCAGGCTTTCTGCAGGGAGAAGAGCAGCAGGAGGCCCAAGGGCTTGTTTGGGCCTTGAGCGAGGGCTGCACTTCCTCATCCCAACTGCAGCCTCAGCCCAGCCCGGCCTACAGGCCCCAGAGTGAAAGGCTCAGCAGCCAGGGCCCAGAGGCGGCCTCTCTCCTGCCACCGGCACCATCTCCACTGTCACCCAGCCCCTCGGACGCTGAGGCTGTGCTGACCACAGTCCTAAGCTACGCAGGCAGCTGGGGCACAGCAGGGAGAGAGATCGGGCTGGCATTTCAAGAAAAGCAAGAGATGATTTCCTCTGAACTAAAAGCAGCCCAGGATGTCTCCCGTTATAAGCCAGGCCTCTGAGGCCACCGGCCAGGCTGGAGGCTGGGAAACTCCACCTGTGCCCTCACGCTGTCCCTCTACCTCCATCAGACACCAGATCTGCCCCCAGGACAGCTGCACACTCCCTGGGCTGGGGTGCAGGACAGGGTTGGCAGGGCAGGGCAGAGCTGGATCTGCGAGCATTTCTGACATTTTTAAATCCTAAGGCCTCGAAGCCTTCCTTCAACACAGCCCCAGGAGAGTCAGGGGTCCTGCTTGGGGGCCTGGACGCTGAGGTCCTCCGGCCGAGTCGGGCCCACACCCGCCCGCACTGGAACCCCCAGGTCGAGGCCCTCTGAGCCGGGCCAGCCCACCTCCCACTCTCTTCGGTGCTCACCCGGATCTAAAGCTCTTTCTTCTAGTCACCAGGCACTTATTAGATATGAAAGAGCAATCCAAACACTCGAAGATATTTTACCCAGTGCTCCCAGGTGAGCTCACTCAGCGAGCTCCTAGGACAGGAATGAATCAGGCCCTTACTGCGGCCCAGGTGCCCGGAGCTTCTCCCGCCCCGCCTGGGGCAGGCAAAGGCAGGTAACGCACCTGCACCTCCCCGAGCTGCTGCTGCTCCTTCTCCAACAGCCTCTCAGAGAGCTCCCTGGAGATGTGGGGGTCTCCTCTCTTGGCACCGAAGTTTTAAAGAACAGCCTTACCTCTGGAGACTCCCTGGCTGGGCGTGGCCCCACGGCGGGCGGGTCCCAGGAATCTGGCCGCAGTCACGCCCATCCTTCCTCACGCACCCCACCCCAGACGGGACTGGGCAAGTGGCTGGGTCCCAGAGGCCTCGAAGCCAGCTCCACGGTATCTGCCTGCCTCTAGGTGCCCCGAGTGCTGGAGGGGGCCGCTGCAAACGGAAAGCACCAGGCAGATGTCCATGATGATCGGAGAGCAGGCTCCCTGGGGGGGGGAAGGCCCTGCATCCCCACAGGCAGTGTACCTGGCACTGTCCCAAGGCCGGGAGGGGTCAGCTTCCCTCTGTCCTGGGCCACCGTGGACAGATCAAGCAGAGGCACAGAGACCAGAGCTCATACACAATGTTAAAGCCCCACATGCACCACCGGCCTGGAAAGTGAGAGGCCCAGTGTCCAGGAGTCTGGAAAACACCAGACCCTTCTCCGGGAGAGGGGAAGATCCTGGATTCTTGGGAAATTTGGCGGAGTCTTGCACGGGTCAGGGAGGGGGTCGGAGCTCACCTCACCCCGGGGAAGTTTGACAGTAAGGAAGAGGAGCTCAGCTCAGGGCTGGCAGGCAGCCCAAGGACAGGTAACTGCCTGAGTCACTGCCCAGCTGCGGCGGCTGGGCTCCAGCCCCACCCTCCTGGCAGGAATGCTCCCCTGGAGGGTCAGAAAACAGACCTGCCCGGAGTGCAGGGAAGGCTGAGGCACAGTTGGACTAACGTCTCAGCAGCCTCCCGCCGGCCGGCCGGCCATCCCCGAGCACACAGCTGCCTTTGTGGGACCCAGTGAGCTCCGGCCCTGGACTTGGAGCCGCTCCACGGGCAGCAGCAGGCCCAGGTCTCCTGGCTGTCTCACAGAGCACTGTTCCCAAGGCTGGGTCACAGGGCTTTCCCGGAGCGCTGGAGGTCACCCAGGCCCGTCGTGGCCCTGCAGCGCCCACCCTGGCATCGCATCGGAACACGACTCCGCTAAGCTGCAGTGCAGTGGGGACCCTTGACCTGTTCCAGCACTGCCAGTGTCTCCCACGGGAAGTCTCTACACTGGAAGGTTACGCCGCAGAGCAGAACGCACTGTGAGAACCCTGAAGGGAGGAGCAGAACTTAGGCTTCTGTGGATTCAACTGGGCCTAACTTCTGGCTTCTAATTTAGCACAAGTTCAGGTGCAGTGGGGAAACCATAATTAGCGACGGGCAGTATGGGCAGTAAGCTGTTCAGATGTGCAACCAATACTGCAATAGATAAATGCTGCCCTTTCGCTGTGAGCAGCCCATGACATCTGGCTCGGCTCAGCAGTCAGAGATTGTGCAAACAGCTTCCCTCTGCCTGTCCCTACAGAACAGACCCCTAGGGCCCCTGCAGGAAAGCCGGGCCTCTGACACTCCTGCCTTCGGAACCCTCCCACCCTTCAGTCCCTTTCTCTCCACTCCCCAAACTTCCGGAACTCAAGGGGAAACTTTCATCCTCGGCCCACCAGCAGAGGATGTGACAAAGAGCTCAATAATAATTAACTCAGCAGAAGAGAGCAGTGTTGCAATCCGAGAGGGGCAGCAGCGGCCTCAGCAGGAGTGGCCGGGACCTCTTAAATCTTCCTGCCCACCTCGCCGAGACCCAGAGCCCAGCTAAGTAAGCACTGGGTGTCTCAGACTGCACAAGCTGGGGCAGATCCTGCTGGTTTGGCTTCACAGAAGGAAAACACCAGTTGTGCTGAGGGACGGGGCACCCTGTCGAGTTCCGGCAGCTGTTTATGCAGCCCTCCAATGCGGCCCGCTCTTCAGGGGCACGGCTGGCTCCAAGTCAGAGTGCCATCCCCAGAGAAGTGCGGGTGCCAGCGCAAGCTTCGGGGTGTCAAAGCCCACTGTGTTCAGAGAGGAGCGCCCTAAACCAGGGCCCATGGCTCTGCCAGCGTCCAGCCAGGGCTCAAGGAGAGCAGGGGATGCGCCCAAGCCCCCAGCTCCTCTCCCAGGCCCTCTGCCCACCACCTCCTGCTCCCAAGCGCTCGCCCCCAACTCCACGGAGTCTGGGCTCAGGAACCCATGCTCCAGAAATGGCAGTGAAGTCATCCTCCACTCCTGTTTTTCTTGCATCCACACCAATCTACCCACAAATTGTTAGGTCCCCCTTCCAAAAGTAACCAGAATCTGCTTCATCCCTCCTGGCTGAGCCTGTCTGCCTGGAACTTCTGCATCAGCCTCTCCAGAGTCTTCAGCCAGACCCCAAAACAACAGGCCACTTACTTCCCTATCCAGAACCCTGCACACACACGCACACGCCCAGGGTCAAGCCCAAACCCCTTGCCATGAGCCTGTGAGGCCTGCAGGGCCCCCACCCCATTCCCTGCCCGCCTCTGTTGCTCCCTGCCCTCTCGCCAGGCACAGGCCTCTTACTGTGTTTCCAAATTGCCAATGTTCTGATTTCAGGCCTATCAGCTGTGCCTGCCTCGTGGATGCTCATCCCCTGGACAGCTGCAAAGCCATCACTGTGTTTTAGTCTTTGTTCAAATCCCTAGCTTCCTGATGAGGCCTACTCTGACTGCCCCACTTAGAACTACAAACAGCTTCCCTGCCAGGCGAGAATCTGTTCCCTAACCTTAGCATTCCCACCATGGTACTGGTGGGTTTTTGATTTTTTTAAATTTTATATTTTTGGCACCTTCTAACCAATTATACAATTTATCTGTCGTGTTTATTTTCTGTCCTCTAGCAAGGATGCAAGGCTCAAGAAAGCAGGGATTATCTCTATTTTGTTCACCCCTGTTTTCCAAGTGCCTGGCACATAATAGGTGTTTGATATTTGTGGAATGAATGGGTTCACACTGAAGAATCAGTAATTGATAATAGTTTAATGAGTCCCTCGTGCCTTTTTTGCATAGCTGCATCTTCAAAGAGGCAGTGCACCAGACAGCGTTACTAAGAGTGGAAATTCATGGCCTGGCCAGCTACCGCGGGGTCTTTTCTGGGGCACTGACTCAGACTACAGAAATGTAACCATGGCACCTTCTTCCCTGCTTATCACTCCTGGTTGTGTCTCTAACGGACTGGAGGGTGGAATTAGAAGCTACTGCTTCCATTATCTACCTGTCAGGCTCAAGGCGTGCAAGTTGATCAGCCATTGATTAGTGAGCAATCGAGAGACAGGGGTCAAAGGAAGGTGAAGGAAAGGTGGGCAGACTGAGAGAGGAGAAGAGAGCCTGCCCCTACTGTGACCCCCAGGTGCAAAGGAAGGGGCATGACTCAGGCTTGAGCACCGGCTGCGCACGGTGAGTCACAGCTGAGTCCTCGTCTGTGGGACAGGGTGGGCTCCAGCCTCCGCCTTGGAAATGCGCACGTGACTCAGGCTGGTGTGGCCTCGCACGCTGGTAACCAGGCAGTGGGCACCTCTCGTGCAGCCTCCCCAGGAAGTAGAGAAGGTGGGCCTGGAATGCCGTGAGATACAGGTGAGAGCCAGTGTCTGCCGGGGTGGCTGCAGGCAGGACAGAAGCCTAGGTGACTTCACTCCTCACCCTCCCTCTCCGTGAAGCTGAGTAACTGACGATGGAGCTCCAGCACTCAAGTTCTTAACGGCTGCAAGAGATGTTCCCCTCTCCTGTGCTCCTGTCTCCCCGTCACTAGTGCATGATGGCAGAGTCTGCCAGATTCAGGGTTTCATGCCTCCCAAACTGTACCAAGAGGGACATCTCAAAACCTCTTGGTGCCCTCGTTCCAGTCTTCCGAGCACTGGTGCTGGCTGGGGCTCCAGGGGTTGGGTGGTGCTAGTGCTGTAGCAGCATCTGGAACAGAGAGCCCCAGTACCTCCCAAGGGCCACCTTCCCCTGTGCAGGCACAGGCCACAGGGGCAGCTCTGGCAGCAAGGTTTCCTGCTCACCCTGGCGGGCACTGCTCCAGAAGGCAGCACACAGGAGCGGGCTGGGCAGATCAAGCAGAGGGCATGGTGAGAGCATGACACAACTTCGCCCCATCAAAGGACACGGATGCCCTGCCTGAGGTCAGGCTCCTGGCCTGTCTCAAAGCACACCGCAGATGCCTCACCCTCCTGAGAGGCACTGCCCAGTGTCGCCTGCAGTGTGGTGGAGCCACATGCCGACCCGGGGCTGGTGAGAGGCTGGTCCGGGCTGATCCAGGGCTGGCCAGCTCCCTGAGAAGAGGGAGGACTATCCGGAAGCTCCTGCCACCTCCAGCCCTTCCCAGATCCCCAGTCCCCTCCAGCAGACAGGTTGGCCCATGGCCACGCTGCCCCTCCACCCTCCACGCCCCCTCCCTCCACTGGGCTCAGCCCTTGACCTCTGGGAATTAGGTTCTCGGGACCTGCGTCCAGAGCCAGTGGACTTTGGCCAAGGATTTGCTGTGGGGAGCTGGCCGTGTGGCTGTGGCCCAGCCTCACTGAGGACAGAGACCTGCAACTGTCTGGGGGCAGCATGTACCCCCTGGGCAGTCAGCGCATCCCAGGGGGGGGGAGCGTGCTTGGGGGGGGCACTGCATCCTGACATCTGCTCCCTGACCTACCACAGGGCTGCCCCCGGGACTTTAAAATCCTAAATATGGCCACGAAAGGGCCACTAAGGAGACAAACTACAAGTCCCAGTGTTCAAATTGGCATCCGAGGGCTGAGTACGAAGAAATAAGCGTCTTGAGATTTGCTGGGATATGGCACGGGCATCTGGCCGCCTGTCTGGAAGCAGCAGCTTCAAAGGCTTTTAATCAGCACCTCCACCGTGGCCACGCTTTGAGCTATGTGTGGTTTTGACCTAGCTCCTCCTCTGGTGCTCAACAGAGGCAAAACTCAGGAAACTTGGGAGCTCTAAATGTAGCTCAATGGTAGAACATGCACTGAGCATGCACGGGGCCCTGGGTTTCACCCCAGCATAAAAAAAAAAAGAAACCCTTGGGCGAGCCCCTCTGCAGGCCTCACCCGCATCACTTGCCAATAAAGGGGTGGCTTCCACTGGCTCTGACCCAGGCTGCCCCTCAGCGCCACACAGAGAACCGAAATGTCACATGCCGAGGCCAGGCCAGACAATGCCAGAGATCTGGACAGATCCTTAGAGGGGTCTGAGGCTCAGCCAGGCTTGGGGACCACCGAAGCCCCTCCAGCCCCGGGTGCCCTGCCCTCAGGGTGGGGCCCAGGACAGACTTTAGAGCGAGAGCTTGCAGGTGGTTCCAGTTCCACACTCACCAGCTGGGGGGCTCTGGACAACCCCGTTAGCCTCCAGAGCCCCATTCCTCCGGAAGGAATCAGCCAAATCTACCTCACAGACCTGGTGACCATAAAGGAAACAAGCCAGGCATGATCCTCAGCGAAGCGTGCGGCTGGGCACTTCCGCCCAAATGCTAGGCAGTGAGCTCACTGAAGCTGCTCCCCGCCCTCCCTGGAGGAGCCCCTGACCCCTTGCATATCCAC